AAAGCAGCGTGAATCAATCACAATGGTGTAATTCATAATAAATTGGGAATGAGGTTACCCAATCCCCCCCCAACTCCAATACTCAAATCCACAACCCTCGTTTTTTTAATTCTTCTGGTATTGCGGGTAGATCAGGTGACCCCTGTTCTGGTTACACAAAACAAACCATACTTACTCTTCAGTTTCTGGAATTTCGTCAGGTCCGAGACCGAAGGTCTCTTCAAATGTCTGACATTGTTCGTAATGGTCATAGAAACTCCTTTCTGCAGGCAACGCCTTCATTCCACAGTCTTGTAACCAATCTAATGAAGAAAGCCACTGCGAACCTTCCTCAACACTTTCAGTAGCTTTAGAAGTAGTAAAACCTCTTTTTAATAGAAAATCGAAGATTCCATTTTTCTGATGTTTATTTGTGGAATTGTACCATGGATATTTATTGTTATGCGATTCCACACCTTTCTTTACCAAACGATTTTGTTTTCGGACTGGTTTCTTGAAGTTAAACTCATTACAGAACTTTGTATAGTTCTTCTGTTGGTAGAGGAGTCTTTGTACTTGTTGTAATTTCATTAGCTCTGACGTCCAGTGACTGCTGTCCTTGTTCTTACAATTATAGTATTCCATGGCCACTTCACGTAACTGAAAAAAAAACATTGATGATCTCAACAACGACATCTTCACACATTGAAACTTAGTTCAACAGTTTTGCTGATTGCTTTAAATATATTTTTAAGAGTGTAGAGGTTTGCAACTTGGACCACCGCCTTAAAATGCGCGCAAAAATCGCGGCCGCTTATAACCTTGGGGCCGCGGTCTTAAATCGATACGATGTTTTACTATCAGCTGCGTAAGACATCATACGATTTATCTTTTGTTTAATAAAACGATTCATTTCTTAGATATTCGCTACAGTGCCAACCCTTAGTATTCTCTAATCTCCTAGCAATAGGGATTAGTTTCTGAAACTCAGAAAGTGGTTAATACCCGCTACATTGGATGACCCTCGACGTTTTAGACACGGGATTGAGGACCAGGATCCAGACAACAAGAGAGTAATACCACCCAAAAGAATATAAATTGTAAAAAAAATATACAATGTGCGGGCTGAATAAGAAACATATGTTTACAGAGTTGCTAGCAAATGACTATTGTTTTAAATATAGGTACAACTTGAGTAACAAAACAACCAAATGTAAACTTACCAAAGAGTACGACGGCAGCTGTTCATACAATGGATTAAGCGGAGTAAATAATATTAATATTGGATTGCCATTTACATATCTTTCGAAATTAAATGACTTTTTCCATTGCGGCACTATACGCGCCACTGGTTGCGAAAAGTTATCCAGTACCCAGTGCATCAATGTTGAATGATTCCACGCTTCCAAATCGCCGTCCCGCGATATGTATTCCTGGAATGATATTTAAAAGCGGATTTATTTTCTGTCGAGGAAATAGATGCCTGATTCGAAAAAAAACATACTCCAAATCTAATGAGTGTTATTGTGTGTACCTAAAATACAACAATGTTCTACAATTAAAAGATTGTTGTTTTTCATTTTTAAATGATTTTCAAAAAAGGAGCTATTATTTTTATTGTTTTTAAATGTCTCCACTGGCCGAGTTCCGTTCAAAAACACGAGTTTAATCCTTAAATCAATTATATTATGAACCCCTATGAACCCTTAACTACCGAGCTTTTTTCATTATAGATTATTAAATCCTATGTTATAGCAAAAGTTGTACATATCCTATACCGGGCATTAATAGCGCTCCTCATATCATGGGCCTTACAATAAAACACCTGGCTTCTGTGCTATTAAGCATCTTAAACCTTTTACCTTGGTATCATTCCACAACATTAGGCGAGCGTTTGGCACACTTTCCACTCCAAGCTCGGCAGCTAATTCCTCTGACGTCACGGCTGCGAAGCATATCTCTCCGATCACATCGGCCTCCCTTGCTTTTAAAGCCACCGTATGCCAAACTTTATAATACTTTGAAGTTTCTGTTAATGGTGTGTACCCAACTGCCACAGCCTGAGAACAAATGACATCACCATCCATGAAATATCTTGATAAAGAACAATAGACTTTAAGTGTGGGAGAGCCACGTTTCGACAAGAATGGGTCGGCTCGACCGGAGTGATACGGCATCACAGAAAACCGGCGTAAAACAACCACAGCGTTGTATTTCGCCGTGTGAGTGAGGTTACCGGAAGCCCAATCCTGCCCCACCTCCAATCCCGCCCGAATCCTATAATCCCCAAATCCCTAGTCAATGCCCTCGTAACTCTTCTGTTGTTGCGGGTGTCCATGGGCGGCGCTGGTTGCTTACCATCAGGTAAACCGTGTCTCGGTTGCTATTTTATCCCGTAAAAAATAGATTGGATTGAACAACACAAAAAGAAAACAAGATTAAAGTTCAAAATGTTATGAAGATACATATTATACTTACTGAAACCGACGACAGGAAAACTAACACAGATTTCACAAGAAAACTGACAAAGTTAGCAACGTTATGAAGTAATTAGGTATATAAAATTTTGTTATCGTCATTCTAATTTGCTACTATAAAAATAAAGTTGAAAATATATTGTCAACTCCTTTTTTACAAGGTTGAAAGTCATATTTTTTTGTCATATTTCTGCTTCATGATAGTGATACGACAAATTATATTAAATTGACGTGCCCGTGTCTACAGACTGTTGTCATCACTTACATTATGGATTAATTGCTCATTATTCAGTTTAACATTGTTTATGAAATTATGAGTCATACAAATTTCGTACGAAAATAATATTGTTTAGAACTCACATCACATCGCGACAGCAAGTTGACGAGATCCTCTGACGATGAAACTCGTCGTAATGGCTTTATCATTAATTCTAAAAAGTTGACCATACTGTGAGCGTCACGAGGTCCTGAAAAAAAATGTTTAAGCACTTGTATTACCAACACATTTGTAATAAGTACTCTTCATATCTTTCCAGTGTTTAAAAAAGGCATTTTGATTAAAATAGGCGAGGCGCCATTTGCGCCCATTTTTAAATATATTTTAACAATCTTGTCACTCCATGAACTGAGGTAGTTTTTAGATTAATAATTTTTACAAAATATTTAATTTTATATTATACTTACCATAGTACAAAATTCCTGTTGAAATACTTGTATAAGCCATTAAAATAGGCCATGAGGATATTTTGTTGTTATGTAATCTGCATTCACTTCCTGGATTCCAGCAATTTATTGCAGCAAATTGAACCTGAAAAACACAAAAATACATAAATAATGACTCAACCAATGAGGTTGTCTTATCTAGCTTTTTATAGTCTATACAATAAAAACTAATATGAGAAGGTGCATATGCAACACATCATTATCTATTATTGAGATTAAAAGGGTAACAAATTAATACTGTAAATACACTGATAACAAAAAACATTTTCCTTTTTCTTTTTTTTCAAGTAATATTGTATTTGTGTCATATTTTTAACCTTACTTCAGAAATTTAAATTGTTATTGAAATTGTTTCTTACATCACATCAGTACATGTGTGTAACAACACATTCAGTCTTATTCCAATGAGATAAGGATCACAAAAACACTTGTAATCAGTTGTCTAGGAATTTAAAATAATTGTAAATAATATCTACTGCACTAATAAATGATATTCTATAAATACCTATTTAATAATAATTAGCTCCAACCAAAATGAATTATATCAGCTATATCACTTGCATTTTCCTCCATACTAATCATATACTGTTATTATGGCTAGTACAATACTGAATTGAATATAGTACAAATGTAAATAACTCACACGATCATGGAGGATTAAGGCAGCCTTTTCAAATTCTCCTCTTACATACTGAGATTCTGCATCCCATGGTGCATAGTACATGACAAAGGACACATCCACACGGTTCACACTGGCCAGCACATTTGTGAGCTGACCTCTGTACCAGTCCTGAACTATTGAATCTGATCTAAAGAACCTTGTGGCTTGTGGGTGTTTGGATATCTTTGTTGGCCTGAAATAATGTAACATTCAATATTAGGAATAAACTATGAATTTTGTTTACATACTTTTTGGTAATAAAATTGGTTGTTTATGCTTAAAACATTTTGAGAATTAATATTTAAAATTAACTTGTGTGGTCACGAAACTCGTTGTTGGAATAACAAAAGCACAAATAAAACTACAAACTCAAAAATTCCAAAAAACAGTACTGTTTGCTACATATTGGCAATTTCATAATGCTGTATTAATTATGGAAAATTTACAGTTCAATTATTAAGTTTATTGTTAAATAATGACTTACGAGTTATGTAGAGCCCCGTACGTGGTCAGAGCAAGGGCCAAGCAGAATATCATCTCCTTGATTAACATTTTGAGTGTTATGTCCCTGTTGCTCGGTTGTGTTGCGACTTGAGTATTTTCAGTCGAGTTTTGGGCATCGCTAGTAGCACCTAACTTTGTTGTTAATGACGTGACCTGCGAAATATCTTCAGTGTCCGCCGTTGGAAACATTACACGTCATTCATAAACAATAGTGATATTGAAATTCTATCATCGATAACATAGCATTGCAATAGGAATGTGTTTGAGTGATATGTGTTGGCACTAATAATACTAAGTAAATTGAATGAAAAATTCATAATAAATTTTCACTATAGTTTTCAATACCGTTTTTATTTATTTCATAACAATTTACTGTAATTTTTCGTAGGATTTAGGAACTGTCATAGGCACCTATCAGCTTGTCAGTTGTCAGCTGAAGCAGATTTTTTTTTTTTTTTTTTGGAGTTTATGGCCTGGATATTAGTCCTTTAAGCCAAGCTGAAGCTGAGCTGTCAGTCTGTCACAGAATATAAAATAGAAATCGAGTTCTGTCACAAAAGCGAAACAGATAAAAAAACAAACACACTTCTGTAATTGATTAAAAGCCCATGTACTATTTGAAGGAAATGTGACATTTTATTTTTTTTTATTGCCAATTGTCATTGTCTTTTTCGCAGCCATTTTAATTTCATTCACGCAGGAGCCAAAACGAAGCAGTACTACCTTGACTTAGTCAACTTCTGTTTTACTTTCGGCTATATTCCTCCTACCTGGAAGGTTCAGGTTATTATGCCGCTGTTGAAAGCTGGCAAGGATCCCGGTGACCATTCGTCTTACAGACCTATTGCCCTATCGTCCATACTTTTAAAAATTTTAGAACACCTTATAAAGACCCGGTTGGAATGGTCGATGGAAGGCCGGGGTCTGTTTCCGGCGACTCAGTTCGGCTTCAGGAAAGGTCTGGGTACGGCTGACAGTGTGGGTACCCTCACTTCAGCCATCCGACTGGCCCTTAGCAGGGATGAGTCGTTGGTGGCGGTCTTTCTGGACGTCTCATCCGCCTATGACTCGGTCCTCCTACCCCTTCTCAGGCAAAAGCTGCAAGAGCTGAGAATCCCAAGTAGGATTTGCCAAATTATAGGCTGCATCCTTTCCAACCGCACCCTCCAATTGAGGACTCCTGGGGATGAGCCTTTACAGAGAACATCCTGGAGGGGCTTACCTCAGGGGTCTGTCCTTAGTCCCATCCTGTTTAATATCTATACCCATGACCTCCCTTCCTGTCTAAATTATGATTGCAGAGTCCTTCAGTATGCTGACGATATTGCATTAATGGTCACTAACAGCTCTATAACAGATGCTACCACCTCCATGAACGTCTCTTTGTCCTCATTACACCAATGGCTTCTCAATCATGGGTTGTCTTTAAGCGCCCCAAAAAGCTCAACTGTCATTTTTTCCCGCAGACGTCGCCTTCCAGACATTCATATAGAGATAGACGGTCAGCCCATTCCAGTTATGAGGAAGGCTAGGTTCCTGGGCGTCATCCTCGATTCTAGGATGTCGGGGGTAGATCACGTAGAAGCCGTAATTAGAAGATGCGAGCGTTCAGTGTGTGTCCTCAGAGCACTAGCTGGGGTATGGTGGGGTGCTCACCCTTACACGCTGAAACTCGTATACAATGCATTGGTCAGAAGTGTGATGGACTATTGCTGTTTTCTTATGGCGCCCTGCAATAAGCAAGCACTTAAAAAACTAGATTCCATCCAGGCCAAATGCCTAAGAATAATTATTGGAGCTATGAAGTCTTCCCCTATAAACGCTCTTCAGGTTGAATGTGCAGAGCCCCCTCTCGACCTTCGAAGACAATACCTGGCAGACCGTTTCGTTTCTAAAGTCCTGACCCGCTCTTCTCATCCCCTACTTCCTATCCTTGAGCAAATCCATTGTTCCTATGGTTCTTCTCCATATTGGAACAATAAACCTGTCCCACCCGTGATTGTTAGGTACAGGGAGCTTAAAAACCTCTCTGCACCCATCAGTCAATACCCTATCCTTCCGGTTTTCTCTTCCGCATATGAGGTTATTCTCTTTAGGCCAAAGCTGGTTCTGAGTTTGGGCATTTCAAAGTCATCAGTGGACGCCAAGGGTGATTTTAAGCGCGCGCTGAGCAATTACTGGCACGGCTGGAATGTGTTTTACACGGATGCATCCAAATTATCCCGAGATGGATGCACAGGAGTGGCAGCATATTTCCAAAACTCAAGAATTGCTCTGCTCTCCAAATGTCCCCGTGAAGCCTCCGTGTTCACTGGGGAATGCGTTGGCATTCTGGAGTCCATCAAATTTATTAAATCGCACAACCTCAGCAACTCAGTTATCTTCTCAGATTCTCGAAGCAGTCTACAAGCGCTCGGTCAAGATCAGCTATATTCCCGGACGCATTGTAGTCTGATAATAGAAATAAAATCTTTGCTTTTATCCTGCCAAAGAGACGGACTAAATATTGAGATCGCATGGATTCCTGGCCACTCTGGTATATGCGGTAACGAGTGTGCTGACAGATTGGCAAAGTTTGCGGCCGTGAATAACGTTGAACGTCACCACTATATTGTGTATGGGTATGACATACGTGCTGATACCAAACTCAAGCTCTTCGACTCGTGGGCTACAGTGTGGGCGGACTCCTCTAAGCGGAAAGGAGCTTACTATGCAAGTATCCAGACCGATATCCAGCGGAAACCTTGGTTCTCCAAGCACAAGAAACTCCCCAAACACACTGTTTCGTCTTTGTGCAGACTCAGACTCGGCCACTGTACTAGCCCGGTATTCCTCGCCAAGATACGCGTACGTGACAGCTCGCTGTGCGAATGCGGTCTTGATGAGGGTACCCTAGAGCATATATTTTTCTCATGCCCTCTTAATTCCCAGTCCTTTGACCTATATGGAAACCTTCCCAAAATCCAAATCCCACTCCCAATCAACTTCCACTCCCTTCTAACTAATTTCTCCCACAAATTAATTAAGTGTCTGTCCAAATTTATGAATGAAAATAATATTAAAATGTAGCGGTGTGTAATAATGTAAATATTATGTGTTATAATTATTATATATAATAAATATATATAAATATATATATATAATAGTAATTATCTATTAAACGTAAGGTAAATATAGTAACTGTAGGTTTATAGATGATATATGTTTACTAACCCAAATGTTTTGTCCTTTTCAGCTACTAACATGTAAATACTACCACAAAGTTAAAAGTCGACGGTACATTACTCTGCCGTCACCACTCGACACTGGCAGTATAGTCGACAACATTGTATTGGAGACTCAGTTGCCAACAACGGAAAAAAAAAAAAAAAAAAAAAATAATTTCATTCACTGAATTTTACTGTTTTGGATTTTTTGACGACGAAGTTGTGTCAGTTTTTGTGTTTTAACGGCTAATGTTAAACAAAACGTGAAAATTATTGATCACAACGATTTCGATACGAACAAGTTACATTTATAGTATCTGCGCAATAGTTTGTTAAACCTGTAACATAAATTTGTTATGAATCGTTAAACATCCTTGGAATCTCAATACATTGAAAGTAGTGTAAATTGTTGCAAACATGGAATCTCCAAGACAGTCAGATTCTGATACTGTTGAGTATTGGAAGAAGCAAGCAAAGTACTATGAACAAAAGTAAGTAGATATGAAATTTTATTGGAAGAAATATGTAAAACATTGTATTGGTTATTTCATGTAATTAGTACTGAACTACCATGTTCATGATTCACCATCTATTATTTATTTTTAGGGTAATCGATTTACAGCAAGAATTGGACGATTACACCGAAAACTCAGCACAACTTGAAAAGGAATTGGAAGCATCATTAGTCCAAGTTGAGAAACAAAACAAAGATCTTGAACATCAAAATCAGCGATTGAAAAATGAAATTGAAATGTTAAGGGTAATTGTTTTGGTAATCTGTTTTAATATATATGTGTAGCATTGTTTATTACATATCTTGTATTTTTTAGAACAAATTAGAAAGGAGTCAGCATGAAACAAATGCCCTAGAAAATGAACTACAAGCATTAAAAATAGATAAGGATAAACAAGGAGTATATATCAGAGAGCTAGAACAAAAAAATGATGATTTGGAGAGAGGTCAGAGGTAAGATAACTGCATTACATAAGTAAAAATTGACTGTAAAGTTATTGCAAGATTTATAGTAGCTACCATGCAATAATTGCTTAAAATGTGGGTCACTGGCTTGTTTCATTATTTGAATTGTTTATTCTTGTTTTTTCGAGTTATCATGTTATCTATAGTTGGTATTTTAACAAGGATAAGCCTTATATTTGTAGTCAAATGTTTTTTTATTGTAAACAATATACATGCAAGTTAAATGCACACAATCAAATTTCAGTATTATAAAAGTGACAGCAGTATTTCTTTAAAAACTGTAAGTACATGTTTTTATAAACATGTAGTTACAGTCACACATTAAGATAACTATACAATTTTGTCAATAGTATAAGTCACACAAGTTATATCATAGCAAAAAAAATGTGTGCAAATTAACATTTGTTTACACTTTTTCAGAGTTATATCAGAATCTGTATCATACATTGAATCACTGCTAAACCAAGCATATGAAAGAAATGCTGTCCTGGAAAGTGAGGTTGATGAGGTTGAGAATTTGAGGATCAGACTGCAAAGAGCAACAGATGAAGCTAGAGGTATGTCTCAAATTTAAACTAGATAATTCCAAAAGTATCAGTTACAACTTGGATTGGTGGAATTGCCATATGATTTAAATGTAAAAATATCTTATATTTGAATTGGTGAAGGGAAATTGTTATCCACTTTTTTCTGTGGTGTGGTCCAACAATAAGCATAAATTATAGTAATAAGTATGGCACTTGTAATTTCCATTTCTACCACACATAAGATGTTTTTTTTTTTCATAAATTATATATTAATAATTAGTACACTAATGTTGCATAAAGTTCAGTTAATTATATCAATACTAATGTAATGCAAATTATGACAAATATTATATTATTCTAATTGATTTTTAATATTCCACTCCATTTTTAATATCCAAATAATCATTTATTTCTAGTTAAGCAAACATTCCAATTGCATTAAAAATAGCCTTTACATTCTACCAAATTATGCCATGAACCCCATATTTGGTCTTGCGCTTATTTTCATAATATTTGCAAACCTTTGCTTTGTATTATTAGCACATTTTTTTGGCTAAACCAAAAATAAATTATTTCATTGATATGACAAAATAATATAGATCTCTTTTTAATATTGCCTTGCATTTTTTCAAAAATAAATTTACTATTAGACAAAAGAAATAATATGATGTCACATTTTACATCCTCATACAAAATTCGTAGAAAAGTATCGTTTTTAAATGATAACATTTAAAAACTTTATTTGTATAAACGAAAAACTACCAGATTACACACTATACTAATTGAGAATACTGATATAAAAATGTATTTTATGAACCCAATATTTCTTGAAACTGTTTTGCATGTAAGCAGTACACCAAATTCATCAATGATAGAATAATATCTTCATTAAAATTCGCTATTACAGATCTGAAGCAGGAACTGAAGGTAATGGAAAAGGTTCCCAAACCAAAGAAGGGAGATGACAGCACACTTGATAGCTCCTTAGTCAACGGACACATCTCAAACCCAACTCGGACTCAAGTGGAGATAGAAACTCAAACTTCTCTGATTTCACCACAGAAACGTGAGTTTTATAAAAGCAAACATATTTAATAAAACGAAATATGAAGTATATGGGCTAAGGGTTAGACAAAGATACCAGCTGATTATGGCTTCAGGTCTATCCATAGACACTTTTTGAAACATTATTTTTGTTTTTTTTCTATACTTAATGCCTTATGTACACTTCTGGTTAATATTTAATTTTACTGTTACCAATGATGTTATCTAAGTGTTTTTGATCATTATATGATTACAGGTGAAATAAATGGCAACGCAATGACACCATCGTCTCGGGTAACGGCCATAAATATAGTCGGCGATTTACTACGCAAAGTAGGGGTGAGTCATACCAATGTTCTTACTTTAGTCAAAGCTGTTTTAGTCCTAATTGTAGCACTAGTCACTTTAGAATGCACTAGATAAGGTATAAGCTATGGGATATTATTTATTTATTTAATGGTTATTACATATTTATGTATTTATATGATATTCGTATTTATTTATTAAGCTGTAGAAAACCCAAATGCCTTTACATTATGATAATTTATTTATTATTTTATGTATACAGTTAAATCTTCGATAATGTAAGTATGGATTTCAAATAAAATAACTTGAGAATCAACTTATTATTATTTATTTCCAAATCTTTATTAATTGGAAAATATTGTTATCATGACATTATCACTGTTAGCCATTATACCAATCCGAACTGCATTTTTTAAGTTGAATTGATGATTCAGTGAATATTTTGTGCTATATTCACATACATATATACTGAATGTTCCATAAGACTGTACTTAATCAACACATTTGTTTGTACAATTATACATGAAAATCGAAATCTTCCACTAAAGCCAATTTTTTTCCTAACTATTCATAAAAAAGTCACATAATTGACTGCAGCATTTAATAACTAATCCCCAATTCAACTTCAATTACATTATGTATGCAATATTTAAAGTTTCACTTCAATTTCGTGGCCATTGAGTACATTAAGAAAGTAAGTGTTTTTATTTTGTATAGGCTCGAAAATTAAATTATATAAAAGTGTTTATTGTGTAAATCAATTGTTAATCCGGTTTGCTCTACTGCCGACATTACCATGTTAATAATATCTTGTCATTTTCTTTCTATTTTTTCTTACTTTCTTTCTAAAAAAGTTCAATACAACCACAAACACTTACTTTCTCGAAATACTCAAAAGTAACGTTGATAGAAATAGGTATTACAAGTTTTTAGTCTTTAGTTGAGCTCAAAATATTATGTAGCACTTAGCAGTAGATGTATAACAAAGATCTCGTCACGATTGTAGATACCTTAATTGTATATGCATGGTTGTGTTGTTGTAGTATGCATGAATTTATTGCTTCCAGCTTGAAAGGTTTCTTTGCCGTGAATGTGGTAAGATAAAATGCTCCTGTGACACGCCTGCAGCTGCTTCTCAAATAACAACGCCGAGCGACTCCACCGCCACAGAGAATGGATTAACCAGCAATGGTCTAGATACTGGCGGTCCTGTCGAGTACAGGACCCAAAAAGTACTTTACGTACGATCACATTCAGGATCTGAACATAGTTCTATAACAAAGAACTCGCCTATCTTAACAAACCGTGCATCCGAACAACCGTTTGTGCGTTCCACACAATCAGAGAATGGAAAATTGAGAAGATCATTTGCCGTACGGTCCCGAGAGGGATTAGAAAACTTATTAAGTTTCGCTTCTATTAGAAAAGGGCATGATCATTCAAAGAAAGTTCGAAACTAATGTGATTTAGTTTTTTATTAATATGAAATAAGTAGTTCAATGCATTAAGTAGCTTTACTAGAGATTAATGTTTTATTTTCTTTTGTTGTTTTTTATTGTTTACACGTAAATGTATCAACATACATTTTTAAATATTGAATGAATCTATGTATTAAGCTGAAATTAAATGTTAATGTAAAACTAGATTAATACTTTACACTACACTAAGAATTTTACAAAATAACCGAAAATGACTGCTGTAATATACTAGTGTTACTACCTGTATTAAACTGCATTTTATTTATTTAAATAATATTTTCAGCTCGTCTCACACGTCATTTGTACATACCTACATAGTGTATATATAGTTTGCTTGGAATAATAATAGGTGTTGGTTATCACCGCACATAATTTCCTATCACCTACTAATATTAACATCATCATTTACTGTGTACTTTTCTTCATTGTAGGCTTTGGAATCAAAGTTAGCGTCGTGTCGCGGTACAGTTAGACCTAAAGAACATTCACCAAATTCAGCCTCGGATGTGAATAAGGACTACAGGTGTGTACTCAAGAACTAGACACGTCCATCATATCATCACTTCTGTATTGTGACGTGCCGCCCGCGCCCGCGCCGCAGCGTTTAGCTTCTAACATAGTATGATCTACTATATCGAGCGAATCTTCAAACATCGCTTATCTTGCTGATCATAATCCAACTCGATTACTGTGATCATAATCACATTTTTCCTAATTTTACTAATATCTGTGATGATAATGAAATAGTTAAGGATCGGTATATCTATGTGAACGGTTTTGGCCTACCCACCGGAGGACTAGCACTGTGTGAATTACATACCACACACCATGTAGTTACTAGCTTCGCGAAACATATGTTGTTTCTATAAAATTAATGCGTCCATCTTGAAAATTAAAAAAAAAACTAAAATGTGTTAGCTTACCGTATCTTGCGGTAATATAGATCTGTTCGAATTCACTTCAGAATGAATAGTTATTGTTATAATATTGAGTTAATGTCTAATATAATTATCACTTGAGTGCACGTTTTCTCGGTGTAAATTTTAGGAGCTATTGGACTCACCTTTACATTACTACAACAAATAAAAAAAGATACTTTAGTCTATTGGTGGACAAAAATATTTTCGAATGATATTTATGTAAATAGTAGGTAAAGAGGTATGAATGAAATTGTTAAAATTTAAAATATAAAAAATTATCGGTAAAATTTGCAATGACATTATTTATAAATCTATGTATGTATTGTATAATATGTATTTTGTACTTACTTGCATAATAGCTATGTATTTATGAAGATGGTATCAAATCTATGTATTCGACAATACATTGAGAATATTATTATTATAGCAATAAACGTTTAAGTTAGATTTCTCCCTATCTGTTCTGTAAATGAGGTACTATATTAATATGAAGATTTTTACAATATCGACAAGAATAATTTAATAACAACATTCTAATAATATAATCAGGTGCTCAATACACAATTAGTTAAATACTTAGAACTGGAACGGTTTGAATACTATATTCTATTCTATATTTAGGGATTCATTTGATTTTATGGATTTTCGAAAATGATTGTAGGTGTTGCAGAAATAATTTCGTGACTAACCATAATTACTGTTGGGCAATAATTGCATGAGTGTATCACTACATTGTTCTAAGCATGCACTAATGATTGTGTTCAGTGTTCGTCATTCCCATACTATGTATTGAGGGCGTTAGGATCGCTGTCGTGGAAACTAAAACCAACCCTTCAGTATAACATTATAATATCTCTAAATAAATGTTTTGCATAGAAACTCAATTCATTGAACTTCTTATAAAATCGACATGTAATTAATATTTAAAACCACGTATGCTTTCGGTAATATGGCGCTGAAGTAATTTTGCTACGTTAGTTCATCATAGAAATGGAAATAAATACTACTAGTGTCTTGATTTACATTGTCTCTGGTGACTATTTTTTTACAACAGCAACAAATAAAATATACTTATGCATGGTAAAACCCATTATGCTATAGCATCCATTAATGCATATTTTTTAACGAATTCATTTTAGTAATTATTGTCCAATTAGAATTTAGTTGAACTGTAGTTTTAGTTTCTACTACAGTGTTTCATAAGCAGTGTATTTGTTTAATTTGTTTAGTATCGTTATCACCAAGTTAACACAAGATCATTCTAATCTAATTGAATATGTTTTAGGATAACAAGCTTGGTACAAAATAATTGTATGATTTAATATTATGACGAGTAAGTCGTATCTTGCCCTAAACACTTAATAATAAATGAGTAGCAGCAATTTTGGTTTTACTTGTCTTTAATTACACTGCATTCAATCATTCCTCATTGAAACTACTAATAAAGCGAGAGAATATGAAATGAAAACAAATGACTGTAGATAGAATTTGTAATTTTCAATATTTCTGCTATTTAATCTTAACAGTGTGTTTATAATAGAACATAACATATAAAATAAATTAGCCCCAAACAAAAATAGTGTTTAATTAAAAACTCACAATGTAACATACCTCAAAAGTTGATTTGTGTGATGTCTAAAATAAATAACAATGTATTCTAAATTGTTCTTAAAAGTAATATCTACATAATTAGTTGGTCGAAACAATGGTTTGTTAATTGCGTAATGTTATTTGCCCAGTTTGCTGCAAATAGTTTTAAGTATTTAGCATTTATACGTTCACGCGTGTGGTGACCAAACAACTTTTTATTTTTTACGCAATATGAAATATGGAACGATAATAAAGTACGTCAAAACGGAATATTTGTTTTTTTTTATAATAAAATAATTTAGCCATCTACATAATACTTATAATAATATGTCTTGTTACACAAAATATAATAGATATAATATAATATACGGTAGTTTCCAACTAGTCAAATTCAATACTTTTATCCAAACGTCAAAAATGATACTTTTCTATGGAATTTGTATGAAAAACTGAGTTATGACGTCATAACATTTTTACTCAAATAGCTTACTTATTTCTTAATAATTTGCAAAAAAAATCGTAAGCTTAGTGTATCGATCGATCGATGAATAAAAGTGGTTATTTTTCAATATTTTATTGTATTGAAACATCGAATTAATTTATTATTTACCTAGGAAACTACCCAAACAGTCTTCAAACAATTTGCTTACCAACAAGCACATTAGAGAACAGGTTGCCCCATTCAACTTTGTTAAGAATGTCAACTGGAGGTTTAAATATTTTTAATAATTCTGGAATCGATTTTTTAAGCAATTGTATTCGTAGCACCAAAGCAGCATTCTCTTCTTGGTTTATTACTTCTATTAGTATTTTACCTGGAAATCAAATAAAATATTTTTTCTTTATTCAAAGTCTACGATGTTTCTGTTTGAAGCATTTTTATAGTAAACGCTGGTTGCACCAACTTAATTTAAGTACCCGATAAACTTATGGGTCTATATACAAATACGTATATCTATCTGGTACATAGAGCCTTTTCAGACATTGTTAAACAGGCTCTAGTGTCAAAATATGTTTTTCAATACTTCAAACATTTAAATATACATAGCAATAAAACATGTATTTAATTTAACTTTTATTTTTATAATTAAACTTACCTATAACCTTTGGAGAATTAGTCACCCATAGGCTCACTACATACATTGGTGATGTCTGTATCACATAAATTATTTTAGCCAATAAATGCTGCACAAAGAGAGATAATACTCTAAACTGAAAAAAAAGAAAATTATTTGTTACAAAAATAAAATTGATGGTAAGCATTGATAATAACTAGTGTAACTACTGAAATTGTTAGTTGAAGTTTCTATATCACGCAACAGGTTTCTGGTTTGATACCTACCTGGATACTTCGGAAGAAGAAAGAGCCAATAGACCACAGACGTGGCCCAACAGGGCTCATGTTGGTATTTACTATCTACATAATAACAAAATGTAAAATGGTCCTTACCATGGTAAATACTATGTAGTACAGTGTTGTTGTAGGCAATAATAATAACAAAATGGTAAAAGCCACAGTCCCCACAAAAAGTTCCTGATTTGTATATTCACATGAATCAATTCCACCTCGCAATGGATTGTATTTTCTTCCAACAAACAGCCTTAGTAATGCAATAAGACCAGATATCTGTATATTAAAAAGCCTGCAATAAAAAAATAGGTTTCAATAAATAATTTATGTTTCAAAAAGCTGTATGTTTTTTATGTTTGGTTCATAGACAAATAATAACATTATACTTTGGGCTAATAAAATATTTAATATGATTAGAAAGTACCTTGCTGCATACACATAAATGCAATATGAATGGAATGTAGCAATGCATATTAGATCAGAAACAATTGCAGTTTGGAATGTAAATCCCAAATACCCTATATAGTGGTATATATCAAGTATTATATAAAGTTTTTCTCCAGACACATCTGTAAAAAAAAATTAAAACAATAAATAAGATTTACTAATAATATTTAAAAAATTCAGTAAGATTAATTTGACTTACCTAAAAACAACCACCACAACTGCACATGATAAGAAAAATATTTTCCTAGCATTTTGTTAAATGCATTATTTAGTTTCAATCCCACTGGAGCACCCATAAGCCATTTTAGAAGAGAGTACAGTGAATTGATTAATTTCTGTAAAGGAAACAAGTAAGTTAATAGATATAAAATTAATTTAATTTCATATAAATCAATGACAGGTCAATTAAACAATGAAAACTTTGTTTTTATATTTGATTGTTTACCTACCTCTAAAACTCCCATTAGTCCTATGCTAATATCTCTTTTGTCTTGTGATAACCATTGCAGAGCAATGTATCCTAATATAATGTCCACTGCTATAGCTAGAATTAAATTACCTTGTTTTACAGCTACCTGAAAAATAATCAATTCTGGCTTTATACATTTCTTGACTTACCTGAATTATAAATAATAGTAATTATAATTGAAATATCTAAAAGTACTTTAAGTAAAATTTAATTAGTTGAATAATACATAAAAATTAAATGTAACTTACTTTTTTGTCTCTCCATAGAGTATTTATTAGCCAATTAATTAATCTCCAATAATTACAAACATGTTGCAGAAACATAGAAGAAGCAAGCCACTCTTGGTTTCTAGTATTTAAGTCATCTTTATCAATTGTATCTCCATTTTGTTCTTGTATCAAATTTACTAATTTTGTAAAATAACTGTTTTTTGAGTCTGTTATTGCTTGGGAGTCTTTAATACTATTATAATCATACAACATGAGAATACAATTAGCAGTAGTGGTAACTTGCTTTCGATTTAATTGTAATTTATTAATTTTTTGTGTTGTATTTTGCTCTATGTCAAGAAAATTTGAAAATTGATTAGACACTTTTGTCGGCAAGTATGCGCCGCAAAAGCCGTATATTTCATTTTCTCGTTGCTTCTCAGACCACACAATATCACTATTTGCATATTTTGTTATGTAGATAGTTACATTATTATCAGTAGAAGTAATAACATAACCCTTAAAAAATATTTCTTTGGAATCGAGGGGAAAAATTGGTATTAATATCCTTACAGTAGATGACATATTTGCTTCAACGTTTATAGTTACTTTGTAATTTGAAAGAATTTAATGAATTGTAAAATTATTTTTACAATTCTTTATTTTGACAACAAATGCAACAACTGATAGTGTTGATATTGATAACAGTGTCAAAATTGTCAAATCAATTAAATGTCACTGTCATTTAATTTTATAAATAAAGGCGCCTGTAGAAGTCAATTGATTCGAAAAACACAAACATAACACAATCTAGCACAATATTAAACTAAATATTAATTTCAAATAATATTTAGTTTAGTAATATTCTACATAAAAAGATATTCACAATTTTCCATCCTTGTTATATCAAGCAACAACCGAATCAGTTCTTCAAATTCAAAATGAAATGAAGCCAGTTTTTCTGCGCTGATCTACTGATAAGCTTTTTATCTACGTAAATCTCTTTTTTTGAGAGACGCCCAAAGATTCTCACCACCTCTCATTTCATGGTGTACGTCAGCAAGCTGTCTGGTGATATCATCTAGGCCTACAGGATTGCGACTTCCACGAACAGCAGTCTCAGCTCCCAATGCGGATCACATGAGGCCTGTCTGACCGGTGGGTCGTCTCCGGACTCGGCGGAGACGTCCAGTGAGATATAGAGCTGGTCGGAATACGTCTCTACCTCCTCTGTGACGAGTTAAAGTTGAAAGAGTTTTTTAAATCGATGCAGTTGTTTTTAAGCCCATTCATCACAAAAAAACATACAAACCGTATTCCTCTTTACAATATTAATGTGGATATTAACTTCATGATCGCGTTTCCTTTCCCTTCTAGAACAGTTTTAAACTGAAAATTCTGTTGGGTCTAGACCTTATACCTAATGTGCCACATTATTACTATAAATAGAAATAGGTATACTCTTTTCAATATTATAGGGAAACTAAGTGATATTTTCTCTCGCGGAGTCCAAACTCACAAGTGTAGCAAACGTAGATATATTATTTTGTATTCGTTTTAGGCGCAGGCCTACAAATTATAACAAAAGAGTACGTATACTCAGGACCTTAATGGGTATATGTATGACTCCGCGCCTGTGTATGTCTCTCTATTTAGTAGGTCTCTAGTTTGGCTATGGTTTAAAAAAATATTACCGCCATTTTGGTTTCGTAATTTGATTGATTTGTTGGCTTTTACGGACGACTGCCATAGTTTCTCTGAATAAATGGGAAATGATCCTGCTCTAAACGTTTATAATTGTGTGATATTCTTGTGGGCTTATTGAGATTCGGTTGATTACCAAGATTTAATTCCGTAAGACCTGGGAAAGACTCAATTTCCCTTTCAATATGTCAGCACACGAGCAAATGAGGGCAATGTTAGACCAACTGATGGGCACCGCTCGCAATGGTATGGTATTTTCTTTTTCATTTTAATTTTTTTGTATGAATTAAATTTTAGCATTTTCGTTTAAACATGCGAAACACCAAATGGAATGGGTATATTTTAATGAAATTATTTCAGGTGAAACCGACAGACATGGTGTTAAATTTTACGATGATGCTGTGTGCAAATCGTTTTTATTACAATGTTGTCCGCATGAAATTTTGTCGTCCACGGTAAGATTTTCTGTTTTGATAAAATTTATGGGTAATCAATTCTGAGTTTTCATTAAGGTTGTTGTACTTTTCCTCTCTTGAAATCTCAGTGATTTTTTAATTTATAATGGGAGTTGCAGTGCTTTTTTGGCCCACATACATTGAGATTTTACAATTTGTTGATTTCCACTGAAAGTAATTAATGTAATTATTCTATATCAATCTTAATGTATGTGTTTTGATTTTCACTCTCACATCTCTTGTCATTATGATACTGTAGTGTCGCTGGACAATTCTTGCATCGGAGTGGCATTAACTGTGGTGAAATATGCTTTTCAGAAAATGCCCAACACTAGTCTTTATTGCTCATCACAATACTTAACAGATGAGGGATAGATTGTATGAGTTAGGCTGTTCTGTAAGTACCAAGATGTACGTATAAAAACATTTATAGTTAGCTGATTGTATTACAACTGCTAAGCAGTATTTAATTTAATAAGGCTCATGAAATACCTAATTAAATTTTCCAACGGTTACTAATGCTGCTTCGGTGAGTACATGAGAAAATTTTAGGAACATGAAAAACATAAGCCTGGGTGAGAGCAATTTGGTGTCATACATACTTACTACATTGGGTACGTACTGTGCTGTTTAAATGGCTAGCATATCCAACCAACTTTTGCATGAGCAAGAAAGATTTTAAAACTAAGAAATTCTTGAATGTTTTAGTTACTTGTACTCAAGTTCAAGATCAAATGTGTAATGTCATATTTTATTATTAAATTGTCAAGTTATAAATTCATAATTGCTGAATATGTACATAGCATACAATTAAGTTTTATGTTTTTATTAAAAATATATAACATTTAACTTGCCGACATTACAAAAACACTGCACATTTTTCAAATAAAATAAAATTTGCATTCAATATAACACTAATGGTAAATTGTTGAAATGTATGAAAGTTGCAATAAGTTTGGTATTTCAATATTTTGTAAAAATAGTCTGACCTTTGATTTTGTTATGTTGTCTATAAATATATTTGGTCTAGTTAGGATATTCGGGTGTTTCCTCTAACATTTGTAAGTATTTAAGATAAATTATATTTTCCTGTGCGTGAAACCTGGGCTGTGTGAGCAGTGGTGATGTAGTATGTATTTCTTTAAAATATTTTTATGACAGATTTTTGTGTATTAAGAATAATATTTAAAAATGTAATTTGTGTCTCTTAGGGAATATTATAAAATTGTATCATTAAGATAAAGATGAATATAAAGTAAATCATACCAAACAAAATTTGTTGGACAATTTGGTACAGAACATTTAGTATTTATGTGGTTTTTATTTCTATTTCAGCGTATGGATTTAGGTGAGTGTCCTAAAATACATGATTTGGCTCTCCGGGCGGATTATGAATTAGCTTCAAAAACCAAAGACTATTTCTATGATATTGATGTAAGTATATTTATTTATTAGATTAGACTTCTTTTTATTTAAACATTATTTAATTGACCATTTTTTTATTTACTGTAATTGATTTTACAAATAATGTTTATATGGTGGTGCTAAGGAGAGACACCAAGCTTCTTGCGGCAGAAACATTGTGGTGATATGTTATCATTACTAGCACAATATTTAATAATTTGTATTTTCAAATTGATAATTCCTTATGCGTCTTATGGTTACTATATAAATAAGTAATAACTGTTTGGTTTATGATGCTTAGGCAACAGAACACTTAGAGGCATTTATAGCTGATTGTGACCGCCGAACTACAGCAGCCAAACAGCGCCTGGCTGAGACTCAGGAAGAACTGTCAGCTGAAGTGACTGAGAAGGCTAATGCTGTGCATGAGTTAGCTGAACAGATAGGTCAAAAACTAGCTCGAGCAGAAGCACTCGGAGAGGAGGGCATGGTGGAAGAAAGTGTCAAACTCATGGGAGAGGTAAGTGGTCATTATTCCAACAAGAAGTTCTCTTCTTTGGATTACTATTGGATACAGTATGTTTAATATTTTGTTTGAATTACAGATTGATGAGCTACGCAAAAAGAAGGCAGTAGCTGAACAAGAATACCGCAATTCTATGCCGGCCTCCTCGTATCAACAACAAAAACTACGAGTTTGTGAAGTGTGCTCTGCATACTTGGGTATACACGACAATGACAGACGTTTAGCGGATCATTTTGGAGGCAAACTTCATTTGGGCTTTATTACCATTCGTGAGAAACTAGCTGAATTGAAGGTAAACTGAAATTTAAAACCTTACTAATCATTGTATTTAAAAAAGACATTTGAATTATATTAAAGTAATTTACATTATCTAATTTAATCCAATTTAATTTTAGAAAACTGTAGACAAGCGACGTGAGGAGCGTGGTGCTTCAGAGCGTGAACGCTCAGGGGGTCGTCGGCATTACGTCGGCGGCCGCGAGTTGGATCGGCGAGCACGACGCCACCGCGAGTCGGCGAGGGACCGCGACCGCAACAAGGAAGACCGCGACCGTGACCGTAAGGACAGGGACCGTAGAGATGGTGACAGAGACCGTGACCGCAGGTAATCTTCTATTAGTTTACATATCCAATAAATAACCATAACTGACACTGGAAACATTTTTCACTGTAAATACTGCTATCTACATAAAATGATGTATTTCATGTCCATAGTCACGAACGTCGTAATACGTTGTTTATTTTACACAGACAGACAGCGCCTGCTGCTTGATCTTTACATCTCTACAATTGGAACTGGTATGGTTGATTTAAAACCAAGTGTATATTTTTCAGTTGTTACAAACATTAAATACTTGTGGTAGTTTATCAGTTTTCTGCGAGGTAACTAACAGTTTTTTGATTTGTATTTATTTTTTGTACAGACGCAGTCGGTCACGGAGCAGAAGCAAGCGCGACGGCTCCCGCGAACGCTCTCGTGGTCGCGACAGGGATCGTGAACGCGAACGTGACTCGCGCCGCAGCCGCTCACATCGTTCCTCTTCAAAAGAACGCAGGCGGGATTAGCAACAGAACCTACTACACACAATCATCTAGGAATATTATTATAATAATTAATAGTTTACTTCCTATCTCAAACCTACTATGTGGTTGAATAAAATCCACATTCTATTATACAATAAAGTTTTCTCATAAGTAAATTTTTTTTATCTGTACCCATTTCTTGTCGCTGTATATGGATTGAGCGCAACAAATCTCAAAAGTCATAAACTCCTTTTTGTAGAAACTTAAGAATTGCGTTATCATCACCAATAGCTATTACGAGTAGTTATCTTCTGTGGATTTTAGAAAAGTAAAATGTATGTTGTCAATATGGTGTACCTATATTTTTACTATCTAGTGACAATATATTTTTATTGATAGCATAAATATTTATGTTGACTATATTTATAACTAGCACTGCCGACAGAGGAGCAATGTATTGTAACGCCTAAGTTTTATTTTGACTGATAATGTTTGTGACTAAACTTCAGTCCGTGTATATGTAATAATGTTTGAGCGATCCTGTGCAATGATTTGATGTGTGATCATAAAAATGTATAAATATGTGTCATGTATACTACAAATAGGCCAGTGTTATTTGTTACCTTAAAAATTCCAAATGATGTGGAACATGAGGGAAGGGATTTTCTGTCATTTTAACTTTTTTGAAAATTTAGTGATAATTATATCAGCTTGTTCAGCTCTTATGTGATGGGATAGCCTATTTTTTCTTTGGTTTTGATTTCATACTATTTTAAATTTAAATTACTGCTCCTGGCCTTTATGAGTAGTAAGGAACTGATTTGCGGGATCGTTCAACTGTTAGGATAGGCTATATAATATATAAAAAGTTTTAGTTAGTAAAACTTGCTAGGTTCTAATATAACATTATAATTTTGAATACTGTAATTTTATTACAATATCTATGTCTGAATAGACCTAGTTTGTTTGCGCTAGTTAAATATTGGGATGAAGTTATTTTAGTAGTTACAGAAATGGTAATATGCCGTAATATCAGAAGCAAGTCAGACATTACAATCATACACGAAGACATGATGTAACGTAGGTTAGTGCTTTTCGTTTGTTAAAATTAAAATCATTATTGAAATGTATGCCTTTTTTTATTTCAACCCAAATAAAATATTTTCCTTCAGATTTTTGTATGAATTAAAATAAAAAGATACCTATTTGGTTTTCATATCATCGCAAAGTATCCAGTAACAATAATTGTTAACGTAATCGTAAACAATATGTAGCCTCACTCAAGTAAATCAAGTTTTGTGATATTAACTTTATAACAAACGTAGTAAGAAAAGGGCTAAGAAATAAAATTCTTGACCATTAGATACCAATACTTACAGCATAAGTAGGTGCACAATCGACTAATTTAATCCAAATCCCGCTAAATAGTGTATAGCATCAAACATTGTTTTTGTCAGGGGACAATCATCAAATGACTTCACCTACCCAGAGTGTTGCGAGAGAGAGTTTCTTACTGCATCAAACATATCCTACAACAACAACATTATAAATGAGCTTCCCGCTAATGGTTAAATAAAAAAATAATACATTTCCTATTAGTCATTCGGCTTCACTGCTCCTGCACGACCTCATTCTGCACAGCAGACGGTCTTCACGCTCCAAAAGGGGAAAGAAGTGTCCGTCATCCACCGTACTCACCAGCAGTTGCGTACAGACTTTTACTTTTCCAGGATTTGACTAAGTTATTGGAGACAAAATTTTTTAAGGAAAATGCCTTTGAAGAATTGGTTGGCTCCCGTCTCTCATCCAGCTGATTTCTTCAAAAAGGGCATCAAAAAGCTATCTAAACTACGTTGGTAAACATGCATTGATTTATCCTGTGGCTTGGCCCTGAGAGTCCTTATATAGGGGCGGTACTATCCATCCATTACCATATATCCAATTACACTTAATCGTACGTAATATCTGCTAGCAATACCGGCTAACGCCGACAACGCCCAATGTTCTCGACGATCGTGACCCAGACCCAACAACAGGATATAAGTGGTACAAATGTGGAATTCGAAACGATCAGTGCAAATGCAACTGGTAGATAAATGGAACTACTTATAAACAATCGTATTTTGTAGGTATGTTATGGGGACAATTTATTATTTACCTTTTCATAACATCAGTAGGTTGAAGAGGTAGTCACTAATTACATATCAACCTACTAATGGTGCAATCCCAAAGGGAATGTAAAGATACAGATAAGGGAATGTGAAGATTACAGAAATAAAACTGTTCAAGGTTCTAAGTATAATTCATTTATTTCTTGCCTCATTGTGATGCATTTTATGCACACACGAGAATCTACTTAAAACTAAATGTAACGACAATACTTGGTATTCAAAAATACCAGTCAGCGATTTAAGAAAGCACCTAATTTTTTATCTATTACAAGTACAATATTTAGGATTATGCAAACTAAGACTTAAGACTACACTAAGAGATAAACACCATGTAGTGATCTCATTTTGGCTAGTCTAGAAAATCTTTAAGGAAAAGTAATAATAATAAAGCATGGAAAATAACGACTGACTCGCTTCAATTAACTGTAAAAGCTCTATCAATTTCGAGTCACAACCGGACTCCTATTCACGAGCAGCGTGTACGTCGCGCAACCGATTCGTACGTAAAATTGCTTTTCTTACTTAATTTACGTGAGTAAGTCGTTATTTCCAGTAAGTTTGGTATGTCTCACGATAATTATTCTACAAAAACTTTAAGTATATTTAATTCTTTCTTACAATGAATTGTATATTTAAAACATCAACGTGAGTGGATGCAATTCGTATTTAAAAAAAAGGAAATAAAAAAATAACATCTATTTACATTAACTGTCTTTTTGAGAAAATTAAAACAATATACAGAATGATTAGGAACACAGATAAAGTTAACATATAAAAATAATGGCATTTATTTAACTAAACTCTAATATTATATAGTTACCCATTTACTATGTAATAACATGATTTCTGATAAAATAAATGTTCGAAAACATTCATAATAATAACATATTATGTCATTAATAATGTAAATTATATACTTCAGACCCTTCAAAAATAGCACTCAAATTACGCTTCTATTAAAAATATTGCATGATATCTTTATAGGGTTTTATGGCAAAACTGCAAATTGATATTTAGTTATACCTACATATCAACAATAAGATATTCTTAGTATAACTACCATTTAAAAAATTATAATAAGGTCAAGGATAACATTTTATCAGAGTCATTGCGGTATGTGAAACAAAAAATATATCATAGCTATCGTAATTTGACCTGAAGAGAAAACTTCATTCAACTAGTTTATTATTTAATTAACTAAAACTTTAAATGAGATCATAACAAATATAGCGTCATACATTTAACATTAAAAAGGTAGTTTGATGTAAATAAATAATTATTATAAGTATCTTAGTAGTTGGAAAATATAATAAACAGACAAATTGTTCTGGACACAGGAGGATTTTCGTGCAAATTTAATATTCCTGTGGCAGCTGAGGGTAATGCGCTTCGTTAAGCGCCCTTTACAGCTCTTAACTTACATTAACTTTACCGTATTTTACAGTAAGTAAACAAATTTGATTTATGTACCAACATAAAGGCATTAACTTCTTTTGGTCTGCATATTTTGGAGGCTTATTGTCAAAGGTGGTCAAGAATAAAATTGGTCAATTGTACAAACCTAATCTTGTTAATTCAATGAGTTCCAAAAGTGAATCTGTAAAATATAAAATAACAGAACCTAAGTCTACCACACAGTAGTTCTTTAGTTTAAAACATGACAACATCTAGAATAACCCACAATATAATAAGAAAGGCCTCAGTTTGCTTAGAGTTATATACAAATAGGTACATGTAAACACCTCGTAAAATAACGATACAGGTAAAATACATCTTTCCAACCAGAAAATAGATACCGTTTTTTTTTAAAACAAAAGTCCTCTATACAGCCAAAGTGCTTAGAGAGCAAGAGGAATATAATTCTACATAGATAATTTATTTTGTATTTTTTGAGGAACAATAATACATTAGAATTATATTGTGCTAGTCTCTTATGACAAAGGAACAAATAAATTATCGAGAATGTTGTCTAAAAATAACATTTGGCACATAGAAAGTATGTGATTTAGAAGCGGTACAGTAAGTCAGTCAATTGTATTTAGTTTAAAAAAAAACTGATATTTCTCAATAAACAAAATAATAACGAACATGAGGTTTAAGTTCAATGTACATTTTTCAGACAGCCAAACCATTTACTAAACAGATATAACCAGACTGGCAGACATCTATTAAATTCTAGACTGTATGATATTTAATGAAAGCTAGATCTTGAAAATGCCGTCTGTCCCAATACTTTCTCAATAGTATGTGAATCGATTGTTTTACTATCTGCATACAAAATAGTTCAGCTGACTGTACATAATTCGGAAGTAATTCTAAAAGTTGCAGAAAAAGTGCTAACGTTAGGAAATATTTGATTATTAATAGTTTATAATTCGAAGAACTACGTAAAGGTATTTGCTTACTTACATAATACATCCCTGTTTAGAAATTTTCTATAACACATTAACGTACTACCTACTTATTTGAAATGTAACCATATTTTTTTTATTATATACTATTAACAAACGTTGAATAAGATATAAATTTTACTAAGTGCAGTTATATTGTTATTATAAGTAGTTCATTTATTGTGAATATTAAAAATTTGATTTATTTTTTATTATCAATAGTACTATTATGCACAAATATTGTATGAATATTTATTTTGTGACTTGGTGCCGTATGATGAGACGATATATTAATATACGTAAATGGCCTCTCAGACTAGTCGACTTGATTATTGCATAGGACAATAATAGCGGCCGTGGTTTTATTTGATTTTGATTTTGTGTAGTTTTAACTTGAAGCCTAGCATCTCTGATAGCACTCCTGACAATGCCGATAGGATGACCACTTTAGTGATAGTATAGAGGTAGTGGTTGGCACATAACGCAGATATCTTAAAGGGCGCATCCAATTCCTGAAATAGAAACAATTCATTTTAAGAATGATAAATATTTGATGTCAATTTCGCGTAATTGGGGCTATCGGTATCTAACACAGCTCATTCACCATCTACTAGTCTTTAAATGTCAAAATCCCCAATTCCTAATATTGTGATCTGCAAAAGAAAGACAACGCACTTGAAATCAGAGTTGCGAGATCGAATCGAGCGAATCTCGAGTGACGTCCATTTTTATTTTGTTTATGTAGCCAATACGGGCCTATTCTTACAACTCATGGATACAACAATGGAGGAGTTAGATGTTTTGAGGATAAGGTTTTCAAGATTTAGGGATTGGCAGAGGGCAAGAATTTGTCCATTGCATTAAAAATAATGTTTCACTAACGTGAACTAACCGATAAAAGCTTTACTAGGCCGCTTAAAGCTAGGCTAATGTCTCAAGCCAGTCCCTGTACAAAAATAGGTGATATATCTGTCAATGTTATATAAAACAATAAGGAAAAACATTTTATGCAAACAAAAAGATGTTCAATATGAAACAAACATTGAACACCTTAAAACCGTTATATTTACAAAATGAAACTGTCACTGTCTTGGTGCTAGTTATCAGTCACGTTGGGATTGGATCACAGATGTGTAAATATGAGTCAATCATGTTCGCGATATGATTGCTTTATCTTGTTGTTTTCCTTACAGGGAAGGGATTGAATACTAATTCCGTGATCCACTACTACCTATCTACCTGTTCTTTTATAGACATTGGTTTAGAAATTGATCTAATGATGTCAAGGTACAGAACTTACTGTAACTGTTTTTCTGGGAATATGTTTTTAAATGATGAGGCAAAATGTAAATACAGAAAATAATATAACTGTCGTTCTTTTACTTATTGTAAAGAAATATAAGGTACCTATGAATTAATATAAAAGTTTTTTTTTATAATTACCTTTAGTAAATCAGCAGCTAGTTTGAGCACGTTATTAGCGACAGTGAGTTGTTCTTTGCTGTCTGGCCTCTGTTCTATTGCAAGATGGAGGTTGATCTGCTCAGTAAGTATGGCTGAAAGACAGCCGCGGTACTTCTTGTTGACATTGCTACCCAACGTGCCAAGTCGCAGTAAATAAATGCCGATGCAGAAGCTCCATAGTAACACTTCAAGTAGCCAGCCGCTCTCTAACGTCACTGAGTCCTGAGTATTATTACACTATTATTAATCTTATTAATTTTCTGAACTTACACTCACACACAGTGATTTGTGATTGATGGTGTCAGACATGCAACTAGTTTAGAAACGTCACAGTTGGTACAAAAAACATGCCTTACTAGGATTTTCTCCTGAGTCGTGGGTCGTTAACAAACATACAAATTTACACAAACCACCCAGATTCGAAACAACAATTTTATGAATCATACAGTGTTACTCCGTGAGTGAATCAAACCTGTGATACATTGCATAGCAGCCAGTTGCCCAGACATTGCATCAACAAAGCAATTTAATTAAAGGTATTATTGAGCTAGTGCGGTATGGGATGTACGCCTGACAAAGTATCTTCGTATAAGCGTACATTTTGTGTCCGTACATGTTTTTACGTGACAAAAAACTAAATCTAGAAACAGTTACACAATGCAGTTGATTTTATGGAGATATCGTGCCAAAATTATTAGTGTAGTGCAGATAATATTGTATAAAGGACTTACTCGTAAGAGATGTGTGCTTACACAGCCGAGTAGTACGACGATCAGCATGAATGCGGCTGACACGATCACTTCCACAGAACGCTGGGGACCACGGCGCTGTAACATACAAATATAATTTTAATTATAAATGTTCCATTAAATAACCATATTTGAGTAGTGAGATTATTTTCAAACTAATACAGAGTAACAATCTGTAGCAGTTTCGTCATAATATCGATAAATAAATGGTATCGACTTGTAATCTGATGAATTCTGCTTAATATTATAAATGTATGGAATGTTTGTTATTTTCACGCGAAAACGCCTGGACGAAATTTCGTTGAAATTTGATATATAATTAGATAATATAATTAGATGAGACCCTGGATTAATATATCACGTGGGCCAAGCCGCGGTCGGGAGCTAGTGATGAATATAGGCACTCTGGAATAAGACTGCGTGGGACGTCATGATGACGTAATTAGTCTTGTAAAAATATCTTAGAAGTTAATGATACTCACTCGCAAATAAGACCGAGTGGACAGCCAAGTCTTGATATTCCTGACAGTATTGAGTCTGAAGTGTGGCAGTTCCGACTTGCGAGCTCGTCGCGCCGAAGTGAGGTGTGAGAACAACTTGGCGTACAGGAACCGTTGCTTGAATGCTCGCTCCGCTACCGCCAGCAGGAAGAATACTAGAGCACCCAACGCGAAACGCAGCAAACAGGACAACACGTTCGTTGATACCACCCTAGTTGAAAAAAAGATGATTATGATCTTTCCTTTCACGGGACCACAGGGTCCCGGACCTTTGGAAGGCATACGAGGAGCCGAAGCCAACTCGCAGAGGCCCGTTGAACAACTTTAATCTAAATGTGATGGGACATCAGCCGGCAATTATCCCTGTATGCACTATAAAAGTGCACCCAAGGACAATCCCCGGTTGATGCAGGACTATTGTAAAATGTGGTAACAATTGATAGGGTTATGGGTACGGGTTGCTATGCACTAATGGATGAAAACTATGGAAATACTATGGCCCCTGCCCCTGACCAATATTGATACATACGGATAAACCGGCAGGGGGTGACTGGCAAACTCAATTAATGGGCCCCCGGAAACGGCCGCTAGCATGTAGCGCCAAGGGGGCAACATACGTTGAGCTGCTTGGGGAAGGAGAGGCATCCCACGGCTATCAGAGCAATCCCGGAAGTACGGTCAAGACCCCTACCAGCACCTTACTGAGATACATCCTTCCCCCGAGTCTCCTTCAACTCCTACTCTTGCGAATCTCCACTCAAGTCAGCCAATTAAGGCAAGAATGAGGTAGGAGGGTTTGTTCTTAGATTAAGGTTATTCTTAAGATTATTATTATTAGTTTGGCAATTTTATTAGAAGACTAGCTACTGCTTCATGTTTCATGGTTTCATGAGCTGCTCGGCTCGGCTATTGCTCTTTGGGTGATATTTTATAGCCTATAGCACTCAAGAACATTACAGCTATCTATCACTGAAAAAATAATTTTGGGAATCCGACCATCCGAGTTCGAATTTTACTTCTTTACAATGATATTAGTTTATATGTGTTTAATCCTATAAATAAAAATACAAACCAGTTGAAATCATTAAATTATAAACAAATATAGAGCAGTAATTTTAAGTTCTATAGGTACCATGCCATATAATATATATAAGAATGTATTTTGTGGATTTGATATTAATTAAATATATGATCTATATGGTCTAGCTAGAAGAGAACAGGCTGAAACAGTAAAAAGTTTTATTTACCAAATATTGTCACCAAAAGCACCAATGAATATAGAGAGTAGCGACCCCTTGTAGTTGGCCATTAGCGTCGGGAAGTAAGTTATTACGGAGAGCGCTTGGAGTTCTTCTTCTGTTCTACTGTCTAATTCTGCAGCCACCTAATAACAAAACAAAGTGCAATTTTCAGGCACAAGTAAAAAAAAAAACACTAAAATATATTGATTGTACATTGATTACATGCATGGATTAGATAAGTCTGGATCAATATAACTATACGAGTATATAAGACATTTGCTTTTTGTGTAATAGAAGGCATACAGGCAGATGGACACCTGATTATGGTAAGTGATCAGCGCCTAGGAACATTCGAAAGTCACCTTTTGGTGTTGCGAATGTCCCTGGGCGCGTTGCCGGCTTTTTAATAAGCAGTACGCGCATTTCTTGAAGTTTTGAAGCTCGTAAATGTTCGAATTACCGCCGGCAAAAGTTTTGCTGTGCGAGGCAGAAAGTTTCGCGAAAATAGCACAGTTGTTGACTGCCAACTCAAGTATTTTCGCGTTGGTCAATGGGGAAAATATGCGGTAGAGATCAAACAGTAAAATTCCTCGGACACCCCCATGGTATATATAGCGAAAATTTTCTTCTTAGCAGGCAGGATAAAGCAGTTTAAAATATTTAATGTTTATCAAAGGGTGACACAACTGGCATATTTGTCAAATGTCTCTTAGTTTGCACTGACGGCATTTATGGTAACAATAGCTACGTCTATAGTAATAATAATTATCTTGTAGAATTACCTGAGCGAATCTTATGATAGGCTTAACGAGTGCGACTGCGGCGGCCATAGCGAGGCCGGCCCATAGACATCCGTCGGCCGCCATGGCTCGCTCGGCGCGCGCCACCACGTACCAACTTATGTCCACCGCAGACAGCTCAGCGCGGAGGGTTGAACCACGCTCCCACATCGTGCATTTTACTATGAACAAATATTATTTATTATACTAACGAGGTTGAAAAAAGTAACTGTTAAAATTGTTCATTTGGCAATGAAGTTGAAAATCCCAAAATCCCAAAAAGGCAATGAATTATGGGCGTGCTTGTGCTTGCTATGGTTGCGTAGTTGGCATTGTCATGTACCATTGTACTGTGTATACACTGGCACATCAGCCTCTGATCTGTTAAGCTCTAACACATATTCAACTTTATTGCGTTACAATTAAAGTTTACATTGCGTTACAATTTTTACGTCTATCTAACGATTCAGAATTAATAAAAAGCATTTACAATGTATATGTATAATAATATTTTAGTATTGTTTTCAAATACCTGTATCACTAGTCGGATCAAGTATAGCGAAAGGATCCCAGGAACTGTCAGCCGTGTATGAAAACCCAACATCTGAATGTCCACCTTCAGACTGGGAGCCATAACTACTCTCCTCACCTGTCAATGCATGCAACACATAATATGAGAATATAACTTATTATCCATGATAGTAACATGATGTCTTTTTGTATATGTGTACGTCTGTATGTTCGTAACTTCTAATGGACTGTACTTAATTGGATAATATAAGTATTCTAAGAATACAAACTGTATGAAAGATGCCAAATAGATATGGCAAATTTACAGAAATGTGTGCTAATGGTAATAAAAACAGACAGATTCATATTAGAAATTTGCAATCACAATAACGAACAAAAATATGTAGAAAAATTAGTAAAAACTTTTGGTAGTTAACATACATAATTGATGCTTACTGTTAGTAGTTTGGCCAACCCAATCGGACATGGTATGGTGGGATGGTAGGGCGATGGATGGAGCGGACGCCGAGCATTCCCCGTCCGATGACGATGACTGGTAATTGTCAAATTTCTACGAAAATTCATTTACAACATTTATTACTTTGTCGATGATTTCTAATCTAACGTAGATATATGTGGGAGAGCTAAGCTTTGGCACGAATGGGCGGGTTCGACCGGAGTGAAACCACGACCCTACAGAAAACCAGCGTGAAACCACCACAGCGTTGTGTTTCGTCGTGTAAGTGATGTTACCGGAACTATCACTTCCCAATCCTTAAATATCCACAACCCTGATTCCCAAAAGGCCGGCAATGCACTCGTAATTCCTTTGGTGTTGCGGGTGTCCATGGGCGGCGCCGATTACTTGCCATTAGGTAATCCGTCTGCTCTTTTGTCGACTCATCCCATATAAAACTTTTTTCATATTGATAAGAAATGGCTGGTCTCAATGCTGGTATGTCGATAGAGTTAGTAAAGAAAAATTGATTACTATCTACAATATTAATCATTGAATACTGTGTACAGTCATAATTGAATGTCAGATTTTTATTCAATATTGTGTAAATTGAGCTAATTAGATAATCAGCTTACAGTGATAGACTACAGTCTAGTCTTAGTCTGTACCTAATCTTAATTAAAAGACAGGACTACACTTTCATTGTACCTATAGTCATAAAATAAAAGGTCTCTCTCTCTCTCTATTATCTATCTCTCTGTCTCTCGCCAAATGTATAGACGGATAAGTTATAAATATTCAGTTCAAATACAGTAAAAACAGAAATTCTTTGGCTGCTAAGACAAAAGTTCATAGAATATTTATAAGAAGTTTTACTTCGTTCAAAATTTTGCGCAATATTTGGTCTCTGTAATGAGTTAATGTTTAATTTATGCCTACCTGCATAACAAATAACTAGGCTTATTTAAAATCACATCAATAATATCCAATTCATGATTAATTTACAAACATTAATTTTAAAACTGGAAAACTAACTTTGGTAAGTATTACACACATTCAAATTTAGAATGGATGTTAGTGCATATTGTTAATAACATGCTGCCAGCAACAAAAGCCGATAACTACCTTTTCTCGCGTGCTGTAAATTGCTTCCATCTATCACCTAATGTTAAAAGACAGGATAAGTTAATAAAAACTTAATATTTCTTAATAATTTGATACGATTAAAAAAGGATGCATGCGTTAGAGAGAAAATAATGTAAAAGAAAATACCTTTTCTTTCTTTTTATGGATGGTAAAGTCTTCATCGCTGGTTTCTTGCAAATGTATACCATCTTGGGCCCAGGAGTTTCTAAAACGGACTCCAACTCGTTTCCCAGTACTAGGGCTGCTGGTAGCGGCAACACCATCAGAATCTGCATCAGACTTATCCTCATGTTTTTTTAAATCTTCTCTAATCCCATCATTATCTTTTATCTCCTCATTTTTAACAGTCTCTATAGAAGTATCCGCTGATTGTTTATCAGGACTATTGGTCTCTTTAGGACCTATATCATTCTGCCCGTTAGATTTCTTAGCTTCTCTTTGGATTAAGTTTTCAGTCTCATTTTTAACTCTTTCTCCCTCACTGCCGTTTGAATTGTACCCGTTCAGGCTCTCGAAGCCATCGTCTCCGTCGGCTAGTACTCTAGATAGCATTTGTTGGTTCTGTCTTACGTTGAATGATTCTAATTGTTTCTTAGTAAGTACGTTTGGTTTGTATCGGAAGGAGGTGCTGGGTGTAGCGTCGTCTGGCGGTGGGGTGAACGTCACTATAGGTGCAGTCACATCAGGTTTCTTCCAAACCATATAGTCTTCATCATCCGAGTCTTTAGCTTTCATTTTCACTATAGTCTTATTTTTAACAGGTTCTAAATTTTTGATCAGATTCTCTTTTGTCAGTTCCTTTTTACGTTTTCTGGAATACGAAAGAACATGTTCGCAGGTTAATGATAAAAATTAAAACTAAACTTAGACGCCATTTAAAAATGTAACTAGTATTAACCTCAAGCCGTTTTCAGCGACATCGGTGCGTGTTTGTCTCCGTCGAAATTTTGCAGGTTTAGACGTTGGTGTCTTGCTCTGACTCGAGGTGGCGCCACTTTCCGCAGATCCGCCACCGCTACCACCGTCGCAATCTGACCTAGGTCGCCTATTAGGGAACACAAGCGTATGTATTTAATCTTGCCTGTCTGAAAATCACTTCTATTTGTATGTCAATAAGATTTAATTTACCTGAAGTATCTTGGTAACTTGCGTCGGAAGGTAGCCCGTGGCCTCACCCGAGCTAGTTCCATTTCAGTTGTACTAACTATCTGTGAGTGTACAATGCTAAGCACCAACATCAAGCCTAGAGGCACTAGCCAGCAGTTCGGCTGCAAACAAAACATTTTTAAAGTTTCAATGTTGATTATTTTATGGGTGTAATGCCGATACTAAATGTCACCACTATTTAATGGATGTTATGAAGCATAATTTATAAAATTTCTTCTTCTATCACTCTATCTTGTTGTTAATTATAAAATATAGAAATTATACCACTGTAGCCATCTCGTGGCACTCCTGTGTAATTAGTTGTGTCTATGGTCTTAACCTTAATTTTCTGCTCTGTGGTCTTAACTATAAACTGTTGTGTCTATGTTTTTGAAATAAATTAGTCGTTCGTTATCCGCCATAACTGACTGTTTTATTATATATCTATTAAAAAGAAAACAACTACAAAAGTCGTCCCACAGTTTACAGATTTAAGCATACATAGGGTTATAAGGTGGCCAGGGTGGGAATATTTAAGTGAGGTTAACCCAAGCCTCGGCACGAATGGGTCGACTCGACTGGACCACGGCCTCACAGCTGTTTCACGCCGTTTTTTTTTGTTTCGCCGTGTGAGTGAGGTTACCGGAGGCCCAATCCCGCTCACCATCCCTTCCCAATTCTTACTTATCCGAAACCCAAAAAGCCAGCAACGCAAACGTAACTCTTTTGTTGCGGGGGTCCATAGGCGGCGTCGATATTTACCATCAGGTAAACAATCGGTAAAACTAAGCATCCAGGAAACCATTAGGTCTGCTTGTTTGCCGATCTATATAAATTTAAAGCGACATTGTTTTATACTAATAAAGTGATATAAGTCTACACTGTCCACAGACGCATCATACGTCGTCATGTGCAGAAATAATGAATGCCACCTGCAAAAGACGACAGGCATATTCGTATCGAGTGACTGGCGCGACATTGTCGCTCCGTTAATACGATTTTGCTTGTTGCTACGCAAAATGCCAGTATTTCCCGTACAGTCACTGATTGAGAAAAGCGTGCATATAAAGTGCAATTTACGTAGAGCACGTATTTACGCTGTAAAGTATCGTATCAATCTATAATACATTTGTACCAATGTATTTTTAAGAATGATTAGATAACATGATTCTTAAGCTGGGCTAAGCTACCCTAAATGTTATCTCCGGAGTTATGGATACCAGCGAAATATTGTACTGTTGCCCCGGCCCAAAGCAGGAGGCTTTTCCTACACTCTTTTTTTGTGAGGGGAAAATCATCGTATGACTTCTTTATGAACATATCCCGTCCTGGGCGGGGCAGGAGGGAGTGTCAGACCCTTACTGGCTTAAAACCCTCCGTTCCTTCTCCTGCTCTAGGCAGAGGCCGCGTTGCCTTATTGCGCTAGCTCCGAAAAACCCTGGCTGAACATCAGCCCTAAAGGGCGCCGTCTGTGGTGGTCTAGTAGGTCCTTCTCCTACCCTGGGAGAAGAAATGGGATGTTTTCGCCTTTTTAAAGAAAAGCTACTGTATTATATCAAGACTGTTTTCACAACATTGAAAATAGATAAACCACAAATCAATGATACTGTATGAAATAATAAAAGGAATCCAGATATTTATTTCTTATCACAACGTACTAAACCGTGACGCATTTCTAACAGAATGTATAAATAATATTTGCAATGGTTGTATTCCATAAAAAGCGTGGCGGGAACCTTAACAATATTGTTATTGTAGTTTATTTTAGAATAGCCCCATTGTATTTTCAAAACACATTACCATATCAGTAGCTATTAAAGAATTAATCATATGTATTCTGTATACAATAGAAAATTCAGCTTTAAATTAAGTGGACTAGCGTTTAAATTGCATTGTAACTTACGTCGTTGTCAATGGTTTCTGGTGTCATGAAGTAGATGGTGATATTGAGGACCTGCATGAGCCAGAGTGTGAGGAGGAACTTGGCGCAGGCTGGTGAGGTTTGTTGGGTCCACCATTGGTACAGCACGGGTAGGAACAATAGTCGGACTAGAGCGTACCATATCACACGACGCATGCTCAACGTCGGCTTTGCTTTTGGGAATGACGATCCTGTGGGCAAATGATAAAATTATAGTAGTACTAAGTGGGAAACAAAGAGTTCATTAGCATTTGTTATTTCCTTGAGTTTATAAAAGTGGTGCCTTTTTCTAGCCATTAGACTAAGGACCTTGTTTTGAGTATAGGATTGGGGTAGAATGGTCGCATTAACCCCTAAACTAGAGAATAATGTGAAGGTTTTATATTTTAACACAGTATTGAAGGCAGTTCTTAAACATATGATTTGATTGAACGCAGAAATAAACGAGATTAAATTTCTGTTTCAGCGGTTTCAGCATATGGTGGAAAAAAGTAGACTATTCGTTATTCCAGTCTATACAATAAGCTCTAGCTAAGCTAAACTTCATTCAGATCTCTTACACAGCATTTATGTAAAAGAGTAACAAACGAATTTCGGTAAATCCATCCATACTTGCAAAACTTTCATGTTTATAATATGAGTAGAATTCTCTCCGTATTGAGTATTGGATATAGAATTGTCACTAACGGCACTTAAGAGTCTAGGGGATTTCAATACACATAACAATCGAATTGTTGTTGCACCTCTAACTAAGTCAACATCGATGAGGTAGGAGCGCGCGTGTGATGAGAAGTCGACGATGCGCCGGCGGTAGGTGCCGCGCATCAGCAGCTGTTCCACCATAGTCTCCCATTCTTCCTTGTCGTACGAACTTATTTTTTTCTGATACCTGTTGACAAAACACGTTTTAGATCACCAAGTTGTATTATAAGCTACAAGCTGTCCGCGTAGAAGCTTTCTTTTTCTTTAAAACGTTGGCCCACACTAGGATTTTCTCCTGTGTCGTGGGAGCGTTTACAAACATACAATTCCACATATACATCACACCCAGACCCGGAACAATTTGTGGATCACACAAACAGTTGTTCCGTGCGGGAATAGAACCCGCAACACGTTGCGCGTCAAGCTACCAAGCTACTGGGTCAAAACCGAAATACATTACACCCAAACCTTTTTCAAGAATAAAATATTTAATGTAGAAAACAGTTCTAAAATCCAATAAGCATTTATCGCAAAAATCAGACACAGACATAATACTATAGGCTAAACTTAATAAAAAATGTAAGTCGTTAAGATAAAGTGGTAGGAAGTTAAGCTCTATACTATAATATATATGTCCTGTAATAATTTTATTGCATTGAGATAAAATATGAAATCCATTGTTTGGCTATCACACTTAGGACCACTCGACATAGGATAAAACAAAAGTCAGGAGCTGTCAGTCTATTTGATTAAGCCCTATAAGTAAAGTAACATTACTAAATAGAAGATAATTAAACAGCTAGAACAATGTCTATTGAACTTGAGTCATCACTGTTATACCAGTAATCCGCTAATAAAAGTTTCTAAGAACTGTTTGCAACTTTTTATTAATACAATTATTTTAGTATCAGTATACAGATAAAGATGTATGAGTTGGCGTCAATAATATAAGGAAAAACATGTTTATTTTTTCTACTCATGCCATGCCACACATACCAAATATAATTAAACTAGAAATCTGAACCCCAAAAATCCCAATAGAATGATTGGTATTTTTTTTATCAATGAGGTCCTTGGAAAATAGTTTTTTACCTTGTTATATTTTACTCTAAGCGCACATCATTCTTGCCCACGGAGTAAGAACAAAGAGGAGATGTTATAACTAGATTTCCCTAAGAAACACCGCGTGATATTTTGCGGGGTGAGGGGGTATTAGACTCCGCCCACTTTTTTATTTGCCATCTGCCGGTCTATAGCAAAACTACTTGCTCGTTCAAATTAATTCGTTTTGTAGTTATGTAACTATTTCGCAATAGATGTCACTAAATGCATAATGCATCAGGGTCGTACTCAAAATTACCGGGGGGTCGTAGTTTTTAATACTATATAATATTATTGGTGAATGAGGATCATTATACATTCATCAAAGCCATTTTGTTGTAACATCTTTTTCTTTTATAAGGGGAGAAACTCGTATACTATGGCTACCAACAGGCTGATGCCTTACTGATAACTGGCTACTTGCACGGATTTCGTACATTATATTATTATTTTTCATATTGTCTGGACTTGAAAAGAGGCGGACTTCTGAGTTTGTTTCGGTATTTTCTCAGAGTAGTCAGATAGGAAATGCCGGCTTCGGCTAGTTTTTTACAAATAATACGGTAAATGGCCTATTTGCAAAAAATAAATTCATTGTTTCATTGTGATGACGAGTGTGTGGACTATATTAATGTGTAATTTGGAAATATGCGTTTAGACTGGTGCGATCTTCAAACATACCGATTCAGGGATGCGTCGACGAAATAAAATACTTCAAGTTTATCTTCATAGGTCATGAATGGACAGGGCCACTTACTACTTTATAACTATTAACGGAACGTGCTTCGCTACGTATTAAAATATTAAGTTCATTTATTAAAAAAAAAAAAAAAAAATTAAAATGAGCCAAATGATAGTATATTGTTTATGTTAGTTGAATACACGTAACTATTAATGTTCAGTGTCAATTTTCCTACATATCTCCAAAGAACTAATGACTTCAAACAGGTTTCCATCAGCAGGAGTTGATCGAGGAATGACAAGCAATGTTTGGACACCACCAAAAAGCAGTCGAGTACCGCGTAAATTTTACATTATCTGATTAATTGCCTCTATTGATTTTTTTTGTCGCGATTGTGCACTATATCCATATATGCATAAAATAATTGACGTTAGCCGCAGAACTTTTGGAGTTTCAATCACCTGTACATTTAATGGCAATGTTAATGCAGATAGTACGGTCCTACCACCTTCTAATAATGTAGCAGCAATTGTCTTAATATCGCCACTTGATTTGCATCATGTGTTTTCCGGCCTATGTTTGGTCCCCTTGCTCGGAATTTTACCTTCACTCAACAACACAACAATATTTTGGAAAATATAAAAACAAAACAATAACTCAACAATATTTTGGAACATTAATGTCTTTTTGTTTGTTTTACTACTTGACAATAGATGGCTGGCTATTTGTAAAATGATATAAACGTTACAAAAATAATATTTTGGAGATTGAAGGATCTTTAGGAATGAATTAAAATTACTGTACAAACAATCATTAAAATATATTAATACTGAACTATGCGTACCTATAAAAAATTAGTTCCTATGATACAAAGTGTCGCCATCTAGTGTCGCGTAGATTGATAATTGGAAACGCTGACAATAAGAGACATTGCTAGAACTATTTTAATAAATTTCGAATAAAATAAGGTCCACATGAGAAGTGATGCCATCAATAGTACCGTAACGTTTATCATAGTAGTTTTTATAAGATAAAATACAAAACTTCATTTTGTTTTCTTCTGTCACGAGTAAAATTAATACTTTATCGGAGTTGTGCACAGTATGAACGACCACATTACACTGACGTAAGCCACGCCCACATTGATGACGTGAGGGCCGACTTGTGTCACAGGGCCGAGTTGTTTAGGCCGTCTCCTCTTTGTTCTTACTCCGTGTTCTTGCCCATTAAGGAAATAGTTCTTGTACTCAAGTATTAGGTAATTGACAATTTCAAAGACTTTCCAAAACAATAAAATTAACATTCAACAATGATATACACATGAATACACATACATTCTTTATATCATTTGCAGATATACTAAATATTCTTTTTGTATTCAGGTTTTTTTTAAAGAAATCAGTACCTATGCTTTTCAGTAGACTGTGATAAATTCAAACGCAGTAAAAGAGGTATGACCAAATGATATTATTTAGGAATTATTATCTCTGTGTTCCCCAATGGTAGTCAGGAGTGATAATATGTTTATGTAATTATGTGCTAAGAATCATTTATAAATCATTTTATTTCTTTTTAAAACACCTGTAGATAATATATCGTCATTCGTATTGCAATGTTTTATGTCAAAAACGAAAAGTTTTGCAGGAGAGTAAAAAATAATCATTCTGGAATAAAAATCTCTTATGGGACATAAATACTTTTAACAAATGTTTCTAAGTGATTGCGTGAAACTATCTTGGTTGCATTAAAAATTAAATTTAAAGCGTATCTAAGCATTAAACAATATATAATAAATATTTTTTTTAATTGAACAAATTGCAAGATGTAGTACAATATAGGAAAACATAAATAGAAAAACTACAGAAGGTACAGTTAAAATTAGTAATAATGTATTATAATACAACTTACCAAGCTGCTAGCTGCTTCATGATGAAGTGAGAAGGTATTGGAGATTTCTGATATAATCACTTGCAATGTACTTGAACGCTGCAAAATAAAAATACCACAACCTTAGCCAAATAAGACTTAATCTTAAAAAAATTGATTTACTTAAGAGTGGAACAGAGGAACAATCAATTTATTTGAGTGTGGACGGGAGAAATAATGGGAAGATTTTATTTTGGATATCATTGGTTAGTTGTTATCAAGCAGTGTTGAGGAGGGCACACTTAAGTGCTGTGTTTAGCAAAGAATGGGAGACAGTACACTTAATACAAAATCTTTTTTTAACATGTTTTTTTCAAAACCTTCCTTAACTTTTTTCTAATCTCATTAAGTTAAACTTTTTGTTTTGATTATGCTTATTTTCAAAGAAAATTTAGTTATTTAGTTAGAAATATAGAGGAATAATGGATTTTGTTTTCACTCAAAACATGTTGAATGGTGAATTATTTGTAAAATTATTATTTTAACAAAAAAAGTGTTTTTTTGCAGTCATAAAAAAAAACATATGACTATAAGTATTGTATAGCAAATATTATAAAATCACATTATCTCTGAGTGAATTAGATTAATATAAATTATTAAGTATGAGAAATTATGTACCCGGCAGTATTGGATTTTCAACATGACATATTACAATTATTTTTGAGGATAAATCTCAATAAACCATAATCTTACAAAAAAAAAACACATGCAAACTATAAAACATTGTAGGTAAAGTAAAAAACGCCGGGAGAAATGTACTTTTATATAAGTTTTCTCTAGAAGTAAGTACTTTAATATGTGTTACATACATGCAAGAACAATAATCACAGGACCTTGCAAACAGATGGCTTTCTCCAATTAATAAACTTGTTCAATATAGATAGTACCAATAATAATGAGATAATAATTATTCATAATACACAGCAGTTTCACTTAATACATTTTCTTAATTGATTATTAATGGGACTATATTTATTCAGATTGGATTGCTTTATGTGGGTTATTAAAACTTACCATTTGTCTTTTGGGTAGCAGATTGTTGTAGGAAGATTTTATTGAAATCAACACTCATGTGTATTTATAGACCTGAAAACGTAATATTTCCATAACTGATAAGCTTTTCAATACTTCGAACAAAGAATGTTTGATCAGCTGTATGTCAACAAGTAACTTGTTATGAAATATGATTTTCGGAACAATTCAGAACATCTTTATGCAGCATCAAACAATAAACAGACGCTTATAAAGGTCACCTCCAAATTTATATAGACCGACAACCCCGTTATGCGGCTCATATATTCTACTATTTAGGCTTTATTTATAACTTTACCGTTATATTTTTTTTGCGCTACATTTTCAGTAATTTAATTATCAACAGCTGGTTTCGTAAACAAATATTATAAAATTCTGCAGCAAACTAATTTCGGTCCACAATTCACTTAACTCACATGAATAGAACTATAAACTTATTTATTTAATTTATTAAATCAAATGTATGATTGAATGAATTTACGAAACTACAGCGACAAATCACAGATTACTATATACTAGTCAGAGACAAATCTTGGCATTTGCAGTTCTATTTTTGACACTTTGGCTCTTTGACGGTCGTGACTTGTGTTGCCAATCCAATAAATGTTTATTTGTACGTCTTAATAAGTCAATAAACTATTAAATTGGAATAATTAAAATTATGTCGATTCAAAATCAATTCTATGATATCTGTGGGCAACATTCCTGTTTGTGATGCTACCTCTGTTCTAAGGAATATTTTCTATATTCGTAGCATCTTTGTCAGAATTCTAGGAGCTTTTATTTCAGATTGGGTGGAATGGCTTGCTCACAAAGCGTAGGTATTTTGTTTATAGTTCAAATTAGTCAATAAGATTGCATTTTGTTACAGCTTCAACATAGCTAATTCATTTAATCGTGAAACATTTTTTTTGTATTGCCATTGTAATTAGATTTTAGATGTACATTTTGGCGCTAGATGGCGCTTTTATCTCGGCTTGAGAAAACTATAATAGAAGGTGCACAATTATTCATTATAAAAAGGATCACACAGAGCCTTAAACTGTAAAGGGATATATAGTTTGTAGATATTCTTTACTTACTTTGCATAAATTTATTAAATCTCCCAGTTGCTATTGTCGGTTCAGGAAAAGCATAATTTAGGAAGGTGGTAGTTAAGTAATTTTGTAGGTACTAAATAAGTAGATTTTGATATTCTAAACTCTTTTGTAGGTACTGATGACAGTCTGAAGTGCAATTTATAATTTGAGAACTCGCTTATGTAGGTAATATTGTTTTAAACAAAATAAATAAATCATGAACAAAAATATATTCATCTTTATTAATTTAACAATCATAAAGGTATTCTAGATTATAATTAACAAATAGGTATTTTCGTTGTCTCTATGACAGTATTAGACTTATACTTATGTATTACTTTTGTTATTTTATTTATTACACATTCTAAATTTAGGCCTATTCACCTTTTGCCGGAACGCAGTATGTAAGAAACAAAGCTTTTTTCTACTTTATAACACAATATCGGCTGTATAATATGCAAGGAGCGCTAAGTTCGTGCTAAAAACCTACTTAAGTAGGTACCTACATCATTTTTCTCTCTTGTGCATTCGATGTCTACGGAAGTAGGTACCTACTTAATTGGATTTTTTATAATATAAAAATGAATCGTAAAATGTGTTGGTAAGCGCATAACTCAACAACGCCTGGACCAATTTTGCTAATTCCTTTTTTGTTGTGTTTGTTATTGTCAGGAGAAGGTTCTTATCAAAGCGAGATAGTTGGACCCGTGCGAAGCGTGGGCGGGCTGCTAATTTAGAATAAAGCTTAGAATTGATTAAAACTGAATAAAAAGGTAAAAAGTAGGTAATTACCATTTTTAATCGAAAATCATTGATACAAAATATGTAGGTACCTACCTATAATGAATGTCGAAAATCGATAGAAGTCCTAGATTTGCACAATGGTCTCCATCGTTAAGACGTTAACTTCTCAACTCTTTTTTTTCCTTTTTTTAATTGTTTTAAAAGTATTTTAGGTAAATACATGCATAGATATCGACCTATTTAGGTATAACGATTAGCAGACACTCTGCTTCTGCTTATGCTGGCTGTATTCGAATTTTAATTTCGTAATCGCCAAATAACACATTTTATAGTTTTTTATTTATAATTACTTGCTACTTGCCGTAGATAAAGGTCGTAGGTAGGCACTGTATTTGAAGGTCTTTTCGTTTGATAGGGTCCAGATACCTACACAACTTGATATTAGATATTAGGTATTACTTAAGGCCTATAACAGTCGAGGTAAAGATTCCAATTTCATCTTAAAATACTATTTGTAATGTTTAACTATACGAGTACACTAACATGGAAACTTGTGTTGAAATATACAATATGTTGTATGTTTTAATAACAATAAGTATGATACAATTTTAAATTATGAGATTCTAAAAACGTTACCAAAGATACAGACATACATTATGCAATGAATATGCAAATCATATCGAATTTATTAGACTAGAAAACTATTATACAATCTACTTTGGTTTAAATCTGTCTAAACATAGTTGTTATTTCTGCATAATCTACTTAAAGCATAATACAAATTGCTTAGTTCTTATTCAATAAATTCTATTCATTTTTTTGTTTTATAAACAATCTGAAATTGTATTTTTGAATTTTATCGCTTTAGCAACAACGTTTAATTTACCTAATATAGTATTTATTTAGATATTTTTTCTATTAGGCATGTTATTTTTCTATGAAGTAGCTGAGAAATAAGGTTTTAGCGGGGAGTGAAAGGTACATATTTACATGGTTGAAAGCACCACTACAAACTTACAGTACCTAGATATATTAAATATTAATTATCTTGTATTTTGTACTTGTCAGACTTGGAATGGTGAACCAGGTGCTATAAATTACTTGATTAAAGTTCAGTGGTTAGTTCGTCTTGTGGTCGTCGCGACATTTCGAAGAATTCATCTTCTAACCAGACACTCTCTCTTCTAACAATCGGCCGCCTCTCCCATGGGTCAGAGAGGACGATAGTTTCTCTTTCTCTTTCCACTTGCGAGTAACTGGGTGGCCTGCCAGCGTCACTCCACTCACATTCTATGTCCTTGTCTAAAATATTACTATCATACGATGTAGGAGAATACGAAGGAGGTTTGAATGTAGAAAATGATTGTTGAGTTGTCTCCGAGTCGGAGCCCTGGCTCGGTGGGGCGGGGAGGAAATTAACTAGTTGGCCTTCTTGTTGCGGACCGACATTTGTGCGGCTGTAGCGCTTCAGAATTCTGTAACAAACATTTGAATTAGAAAAAAGGACTTAAAATTATATAGGACGAGTTTAAAATAATAAAAGTTTAGATACCCACCTTTCAGCCCAACTAGCCAATCGTGGCCACTCATCAGGCACAACAGGCACCTGCTGCTTGTTCAACAATATCAGCAACTTGGCCAAATCGCTCAGGATGCAACTGAAACAGAAGCTATTATTAGAACCCACTATCTCGAGTTTCTAACGTAAATAACACGTTGCAGCGTTGAGGCACTGTTTGGAATGTGTTTTTTGTAGGTTAAGTTGGTAGCTCTGTCAACAGACCTGCTTGCTATGTTATTAGAACACTGTTGCAAGAGTTGCAACCTCTTTACAGACAAGTTGGCACTCTTTGTACCTTTGTCTATTTAAACTAACATAACTAGCACTGATAAAGTTCCAGAAAAAATGCGCTACAGAAATGTTCCCACGCAGATCTTTGTCTATGTTTTGCTTATCGACTGTGCTAGTGAGTACCTACAACAGATAGCAACACTTTCTATTTTTAAACTGCAGGTACTTGATATGAGTGATAGACAATTGTTTTAAGTATTTTATTCTAGGTAGGTGAGGAGCTCCTTTTGATATTCTTTTGTTTTGATTAGAGATTTCTGGGTAGGCTAAAATATAATTGTTTAATGAAAGCAATAACAGAAATAAAAAATCAAGACCACCGAAAACGCGCAGCCCTACGTCGTTGTCAGTCGCTACTGCATCAATAATACAGTTAAAGAAGTACGTCTAGTTTTTGTAACTTAGATGAAAATTTTCCATCTGAGATGCAATAAAAGTGATAAGGTAATTGTACCTGTATGCCATTGCAGCATCGTTGTTGCCAAGCTGATAAAGTTCTCGCACTTGATGCCGCGTGTGGTTCAGTATCGCCAACAAGGTGTATGCGTGCGGCTAGAATTAGAACAAAAAATCCTTTATCAATATTATAAGTATAAAGTGTTAAACTTGTAACATGTTATTATTCTATCCATGTTGTGTTTTTTTATTCTCTAACTTAATCGTATCTATATACTTTTATTTAAATCAAGTTATTTGATTAAATTATTATTGGCATTGAGATTTAAAGATACCTACAAAGTGTCAATCCCTTTACTTTACACTTCGCATTAAAAAGAAGAGTGAAATTTTGTTACAAAATCCACGAAGCTGATTACCCGATACTTTCATTCGCGCACATAGTCCTAGAAAACCATGTAAACGTGGTTCTTAGCATTCCATAATACAATTGTAATTCAGAATTGGAGCGAATGATGAAATAACAGAAGAAAAGTAGGCGCTCTCAAGACAACGTGTGATCAAATTGTGAGTGCTGATGTCAATAAATCTCCCGATTTCTTAACACAGTATACATTATCTTTTTATCTGAGATTGCTTCTGTAACCGTCATAATAATTATGTAATTCGATTATTCGGAAGTCCATATCCAATTTCGGATGATCGTTTCGTAACGGATTACTGCAATCTCTAGCTTATCTACTTATTGCTTAGTAATTAATTTATATTAAAATATAAAAACTTTTATATCGTATTGAATTATTTTTTGAAGTATTTAGGAGTACCTACCTTTAAGTTTAACTTTCGCGTGAATGAACCATCAATTCAAAAAATACGACCAAGGTGATCTTTATTTTTATCTTTATTTTTATAGACTATGGATTTCTAATCATAAGTTTTCATCGCTAATCCGCCTAGAGCAAGCGTGGTGATTAATGCTCAAAACTTTTCCGTGTGAGAAGAGGCTTTTGCTAAGCAGTGGGCATATAGGCAGACGATCTGATGTGAAAGAAATGATATTAGATATGAGATAAAAATAAATGTAAAATAAATTGAACCAAAAGCCCGAGATTTTGTTACAACTTTAGAAAAGCAATTATGCTAGAGTTATTCGTGTAAACTACTTTTTAATTGGCCCAGATGAGTTTAACATAACGACAGTGATTTATATTCAAATATCAAACCGCGTTACAAAGTTGTTCTCACTTTTATAATCTTGTTTTTAAAATGAGATTTACTTTTTTCAATCCCTCAAATATATTATTTATACATTTACCTACCTGCGTTATTTCGAAATAAGGCCTCTACCGTGGGTATCTTTTTGTTTGAATTTAATTAAATAACTTGATGTAGGTACCATACCTACTTATACAGTTGTATCATTAGAAAAACAGCTTTATATTGCGAGGAATTTAGTTTAATTTCTGTTATAGGTACTTTATACTTACTCGTAAACAGTCAAGCTGTTTGTGGAATTCCCGAAGTCGAGTGTCGTCGTCGTGATGTGTTCGTTGGGGTAAAGGTTGAGGCTGCGCTCGTGATTTATTCCTACAGCGAGCGTATGCTGCTGCGGCTGCCACCAGAGCTATACAGGCAGCCACACCGCATGCAGCACCCACTATCACCTGGAGGATAAGAGAAAAGAAAATCGATGTAGAATCGGCCTGCTACAGGTTGATACTAGCTGTCTGTTTAAGGCAGGAAATGGGCACAAAGAAATATCATGTACCTATTCATATAAACTAGAACTTCAATAAGTTTATAACGAGAGGAAATATCAACATATTCCTTTGCATAAAACTTTGACAACTTTATTGAGGCAGTATTTATAGCTCGAAAACATTTTGGAGTAACCGAAAATCGTGCGCACGACAACGGCATAATACAAGCTTAGCATGTCGACACCAATTGTCTACTTGATCCCTCACATCAACAATTTGCCAATAGATCGGTCGGGACCTTTCAAGTATTAAAGTAGTTGGCAGAAGTCGAGGTCAATTTATGTGCATGTAAGTACCTAAGGGTTGCAAAATCTATGGGAACCGAATAAACCCAAGTTTTCGTAGAGCTTTCTATAGGTTTAGTGACTAAATCTTCATTACAAAAAATACTATCTATTTAATATCCTTTAGTGGGGTAACAGGTAGGTGGAGTAAAAGTATTAAGGTCAGCACCTTAATACTTTTACTCCTCCATCCATCTTTTATTATTTACTAATTGGTTATGTACAATTGACGCTACAACGACGGACTAATGGCACCTGTTACTACAATAGATTAATATAATATTTATTCATCGTGACCTTACGCATAAACGTACCTACGTAAGTTATCGGCTTAAATGGCTTTGAAGTCAAAACCTACATCAATTTATTATAAGTACGTCATGCGACTAATGTTATTGTTCATTCATGAAGAAAAACCCATTTTCTTTTTTATTTATTTATAAACTATGGTAATTTTTCGTATATTAAAAATGGGTATGCGTATTATATTCATACCTATTATAACATATTTTTAGTAAAGAGTGAATAAGAATTATAAACAGAAATAGAGTATAAGAACGTTGTTATTAAATCTCTATTAACATTAAAAGTAGTTGATCAAAGTGTTACCAATTTGAATAATCAATAGTCTTAAAATAATTATTACGATTTATAAAGCTGATGACGCCATCACAGTTCTGATGGTCGGTGCATATTTATACATAAAGTACATACATCGTTACGTTGCGTGTATCTCCCATACGGACCACATCTGTAGCGCGCATTAAAGTCGTTGCATCATAGTGTTTTAATCTGTGAGGCGTTAAACTTTGATTTTGTATTGGCATTTGATTGACTAACCTAATGCTTTGATGTATAGTGTTCATCGTAATGGTGAGATAACATAATAATTCCATATTCATAAGTGTCTTATTAAAAGTTGTTTTGACTGGATTTTTAAATAAATGTTAATCGTATACGTCAAAGATTTATTTCATGTTGGAGTGCCACAAGGCAGCAGTTTAGGCTCGTCATAATATATTGTGTAGTAAATAATATTTAATTTAGTAGTTTGAATTCACTTGATTATCCTTATGTTTTATTTGAATAGTGCTTGGTTTTTACAACGCAATTCGTGGTTTAACTTATATTTTGTAAATTCTATAATCAAAATCTACCTCATTATATGTTTGCGCTGGGTAGCAGACTCGACCCATGAGGTGGTCATCATGGGCCCAAGCTTCACGGCTGCCAGCAGGACAATCATGCGCACAGGTTCCTCCAGGCCAGACCAGCAGGCGAGCACATTTGACGCATCCATCAGCGGCGCAGCGAACGCATTCCGTACCACAGCCTAGAAAAAATATAACATTAGCGTTTTTATATTGTACTAGCTTTTGCCCGCGACTCCGTTCGCGTGGAATAGTGACTTCCTGCAGATTTTTGGTTATCCTATTTATCTATCCTATATCCTTTCTCGAGTTCCCGTGTGTGTACCAAATTTCACAGAAATCGGTTCAATAGTTTAGGCGTGAAGAAAAGACAGACAGAGTTACTTTTGCATTTATAATATTAGTTTGGATTTCTTTTTTGAATGAACTCAATTAATAAAATGTAATTATTAAAATTAAAATAGAGTTTAATATAAGTAATGTTGGGTCATCACAGACAATAGTGTCGTTGTTGTTTTGTTTGTGAAATTGATGATTTTTTATGTACCTACTTGCGTAGTATTGGTATGAAACGTCTTATTTTTAAACAGAATTTGTATAGTATTAGCTAACTACACATATTAAGTTTTGGCGTAGAACGTTGCTGTATATGAATGGATATTGTAATATCAAAAAACTAAATTTCGTAGCAACAAAGAACCTTTTACTACAGAGGCAGCAGCGTACAAAAAGTCAGCGACGCTAGCATACTCTGTGTGCCAGATTTTTTGTTCGTCGTCGTATGCTTTTACTAGAAAGCCTATTTTGCTGAAATAAAATAAATAAGTATTTACTAATAAAAGTATTGTTAGAGGAGTGAAAAACAAGTCTGCCGTATAGCTGTTAATTTTTTGTATAACAGGCACAGTGAAGAAAACAAAATTTGCTCTTGCTTTTTTCCTGCGTACATAAGTCAATTACAGAATTTTGCATGATTGTACAGTGTTCGTTAAATTTATGAAGATTCTCAGTTTAGTTGATCTCGTGGTTTCAAGTGCGATTACTGCGCAAGCAGTTCCGAATGTTATTTCCAGGTCGGCCAAAGCCTTACTGTACCTTTTCCGGTTTTAAAATAATTCTCGCCTTGGTTGTTACACGTACATACCTATGTCATTTATCTTTGGGAAATATCGATGACAGGTCAAGTCCTGTAACTGCAGTGAAGTTTATTTTGAACGAAAGTTTGTATTTGCATTTAGGCGAGGTTTAAAAAAAAATTGCAAGTACAAAAACTTTACGAGTTCGATTGTTCGAAATGTTTTTTTTTCTGACAAAAAGTCGGTAGTCTTAAAGTTAGCAAAAACTTTGATCTAGGAGGCGAAGTTTATTGAAGGAAATTTTCTAAATAGGTAAGTTTTTCCGACAGCTACTATGTTTTATTGTAAAAGGTTATTTCATTATTTTATAGTTCGGAAAAACACATTTTTAAACACATCGTGAAATAATCGCTAATCTCTTCTGGAAATATAAATAGATATTTTCGAAAAATCGTAGAAACTTCTTAGTAGACTACCTCCTTATTATTAGTATTATAAGTAATATTGTGTGACTTTATTATTAGCATTAATTTGTACCACAATTTACTCTGCTTTCTACTCGTTAATCAGTTATAGATTTGAAAAAGTGCTTTTAATTTGTGGATGCATCGATACAAAGGTATTTTTTATACAGCATCGACCTACGTAACTCGAAGCCGCTATTGAAATATTTCGAATATCTATGCTAATAAATGGTACCATGTTTGGGCGTAATGTATTCATGACGATGCACGACGCGCGTTCGACTGCTCACTACAAATGCAGACTGGTGAATGTAAAAATTTCACCTCTCCTGCATCACCATAAAAAGCCATTAATGTTAATAATTTATGTCTCTAGCGGGTCAAATAACAGCAGTGACCGAATAAGCTAAAATCGACCGGTATATACGGAACTTATGTAAGAAAATATTATTATTTTTGGTTACGTTTGAAAAGTGGGACATAAACGCATAAATCTGCATATTAAAGTAAGTTTACGAGCGGGTTACTTATAACATGGCTGAACATTAAAAAGTTTACCGCTTGCTTTGAAACAAATGAAACAAAGCTCGTCAGCGTCTAAATGTCAAGCTCTAAGCCTCGCTCTTGGCATAAAGTTTACAGCCTTACTGCTTACTGGTAACATTATACGAAAGTAAGTTACGGTAGGGGTTCACTTAATTTGCCGTTTCTGAAGCAATGACTTTGAAAACCAATTTATATTCAACTTCAGTGATTTGGATCGTATTTCGATACTTTCCAAAGGGAAAGCGCGCGCAATATGCGATTAGTGCGCTGTTCAATTAACGGGACCGGCCGGACGAGTAGACACATTACTGTGTTTTGTTTACTCTACGATCAGCATTACGTGCATAATGCGACTCCTGTGCACTGGCCACTGCGCTGCATGATAGCCAATTTCTGAATATCGCCATTTTAGTGAGCATACCTAATCAATTATCGCCTGTCCGTCCGTAGTTTGGAAGCTTCGTGTACTCGATACCTGAATGTATATCAAACTTTTGCTAGTAGAGTGGGCTTTATTGTATTAATAAACTGTCAATAATATTTGACATTCAAGTGTTATTGAAATTGTATTTGTTTAGACTACGTTCAAGAAGATTACTAAATATACAAGGAGTACTTTGGCATCGTGAGTGGGACTCAGTGGGAGGTTGTAGGAGGGCCAAAAGCTGACGATGACGCAGTTATTGTGAAAGCACTGATATTAAAAAAAATAGTTTTCTTTTGTCACGATTATAATGAATCCTAAAGATAATATTTTCGTAACGTGGACTTTAGAAGGGTTCAATAAGCTTGTAGGTAAATATTTAGTTGGAAAAGAATGCTAAAATTCCTGATTTTGGCGAGGCCTTTCGATTTATAGCCGAAAATTATACGTCTCGCTCAGGACAGGCGTAGTCCCGGTACGCGGATTAATCGACGTACATTTCGTAGAAACCCATTTAAACACAAAAATCTCTGAATATTGATCTTCGATCTTCTTTATAATGTCGATTCTTCGAAGTACTTATTATTAAAGTTGTTCTTGTGTTCTTATGTATTTCTTATGAAGCTGATTTTATAAATGTACTAGCTTAAAACCTTACTAAACGTTGCCTATGTGTTATTCCAGACTATATATATTCTACCTCCATGCTAAATTCCATTCAGATTGGTTTTGTAGGTATTTTTTACTTGAAAAAGTAACATACAACCAAACAAACTCATTCTTAAAAACTTTCGCATTTACCTATTATATTAAAAGGAAGTTTAAATACAACTAGACTTTGTCTACTACTACTATACGTTCCTCAGATAAATAATAGACTATGTGGTCTGTCAGCAGCTTTGTCTGCGTTACTGATCATATCCCAGATGAAAAGTAGACTGTGTTATTCCAGATTATTATTTATCTCAGTGACAAAATCAAATCTGTTCTTTAGTGAAAGACAGACGTCTTTCAACGTCTTTTTTATATTCGCGCTTGTACAATTTTTTTTTAAATTTTGTGTTGTAAGTAACTTTCGAGAAACTAGAAATTAATAGAGCTATTCCCAGTTAAATCACGTGATTTATTGTCAGTAAAAATAGTAATAGTGCCTATACTTAAACATAAAATATATGCGAACTTTGTTATTGTATGATTGTGCAAAAATAGAATGTAAAAAATAGAAATCGTGTAAATTTCTTCTAACTAGTGTTATAGTTCCCATCGACTGACATCAGAATGTTTGGAAAGTACACTATTAATCGATTAATGTGTGTGTGTTTTGACGTCATTTTTACTTCAATCAGGTGCAATTGACTTGTTAGTGTGAGAATTGTTCGAAGTGAGATTATCCGCAAGAAATAATAATAGATCTTTATGGGACACCAAAGGACTTGTGAGATGAATGTTGAAAAAGTATTTAAGGGTACTAAGGTGGCCTTACCGTTAAAAGAGCTATCTACAAGGCAACCTTTAGGTGGGTGGCCAGGTGTACGTAAAACGTACGTGTAAAGATATATTTACACACATAAAAAGGTATCTTAAATAAAGAATATTTAAGATAACTTTTTGATTTTTGACGGAACAAATCATCACTTGGTTTGCTTTACCCTGGGTGAGGCGAAAGGGAGTGTCAGACTCCCACTGACTGAAAAAAACTCCGTTCGTTTTCCTGATCCAGGCCGAGACTGGGATTCAATTTTGCGTTTGCCTCAAACCCCGACTGATATTTATGATACCTTTTTTTATTTGGGGAAAATCATCAAATGACTTCTCCCGCCCAGGGTAAAGCGAGAGAGAGTGTCAGACTCTTACTGACTAAAAACACCCCCGTTCCTTCTCCTGCTCTGTGCCGAGGTCGCGGTGCCCCATTGCGCTTACCCCGCAACCCTGGCTGAACATCAGCCCCATAGGGCCCCGTCTGTGGTGGTCTATTTATTGGCTCTTTGAGGCGCGCGCGGAACGCTACGCGCCGTACGCTCGGGTCTGGTTCTGGTCGGGCGGCGTTTTCTACAATGGCTGTCACAATTTTGGGATCAATTAACAAACGAGACTGTCTTGCGTGCATGTGTTTGTAATTATTGCATAGTTAAATTTATAATAAAAAAATATACGATAGAATAAAAAAAACTTGATAAAAAAGGCTTTCGCTCATCGCGTGAGTTACAATCGTGACAAGTCCACTTTGTATGAAAGGTGTTAATTCCTCATGTTTAGCACAATAATTGAGGTAAGTCGATACATATCTAAGCGATAAATTAATAATTTATAATTTGTTAAAGAAACCGTGAGCCTTTGCTAAATTTATAGTGTTTATAATTACTTAGTACTAAGATAGCTTGCATTTTAGGACATGTCCGTTTTCTTATTAGTAGACTTTACACTTTTAACAAAATTATAAATTGTGCATTAATATTTATATATTTAGTTACACCTTATTGTACACCATAAATAAATACAGGAAAACTACAATGGATGGTTTTATCGCTACATGCGATTTCTCACGGACAACCTTTTTATAGATTTTTATAGTACTTTCTTCTTTTTACTTTATAGGTACATATTACATATTGCGGTCCATTTATATCTACCCTTTTGGTAGTTAAAAGGCAAGGATATTTTAATTATACACTTTTATTAGGTTGCCCAATTATTTATGAGGAATGAAAATGTCGTATGTAGTAAAATCTACGAATCTCGCCAAATAATTTGTTTGAATGAAGCTGGTGATGACTACGAATAAAAGCGGGATTTTAGTTTTATCTATACTTATAATATTATAAAACAGAAGAGTTTTTTTGTTTGTTTGAACGCACTAATCTCCGAAACTACTGTTTTAAAATTATTTTTGGGTTCGTTATTCCATTTATCGAGGAAGGCTTTAGTCTACAAAACATAACGTTACGATCTGTAGGAGCCTAGCAGCGAAACCGCGTGAGATTAGCTAGTTCAACTATAAATTTATTGTAAACACGATGACTCATAGGAATACTTAATCACAAGTCTCATTGTGAAGAAATACACCCACTTTAAATTATAGTGAATCGTTACTTAGTATTTTAGGTTAATTAATCTCGAAGTGATTAATGATAACAAGGGTTAGTCCTTAGTTCATATTTCATTTCGCTACTATACAGGTCTCAACGATGAATGTCTAGAAATTCGATGGTGATGGACGTGCAAATTAATCTCGGACAAAATTGAGTTTCTATATAGCGTGGTTTAGTTTTGGTGGTGTTAATGCATTTTGAACTTTAGATATTATATTGCAAGCATTTTTTTATTTTATTTCTTAGGTCGACAAACGACCTTATACTACCTAACGTTAAGCGATCAGCGCCGCCCATTTACGCTCGCAGTACCAAAGGAGTCACTACAAGTGCGTTGCCAGCTTCTTGTGAGCTATTCGGGATTTATGGCTAGGGTATTTTAGGGTTAAGGATGAGGGGAGGGGGGAAGAATAAGGCCTCACACGGCGAAACACAATGTAAGTGTTGCCTCACGCCGGTTTTCTGTGAGGCCGTGGTATCACTCCGTAAGAGCCGACCCATAAGTGCCGAAATATGGATCTTCCACACTTTATGTTATTTTATAAGCGTTGGGTAAAGTTACTCCGTCAATTGAATTTGTTGAGTTATTCCTTATTTTACGAATCTAATTTTTTTTTTTAAATTTGCAAATCTTATTAGGTTCATCGCCCGTTATCTATCGTTATGCAACAGATACCCAAAAAAGATCTGAATTTCGATTTTAATTGATTAACGTATTTTAATCATCATTTTATCTCTTTGTCTAGGTTTTTTATACGGAGTTAATAACAGCTCTATAAAAAATAATTCTTAGTAATTATTTTTAATTATTTAGGTTAATGTGTTGAGCCATTAGATGCTATAGGTATAATTACTCCTGTATGTACTTCTATAGATTCTCAATTATTGGTAGTAGTCCAGGACTCACTCACGTGTGTCGTTGATGGCAGGGGGCGCGTCGGCTGGCCGCAGCTGCGCCGCCGCTGAGCTCGCCGTCACCAGCACCGCCATCGCCACCAGTGCCGCGCACGTCATCGCACACCGCTACTCATCCTGACTTCACTGTGGAACAAACATAATATGTTATTGTGTATCAAAACTATTATCCGTATGGTTTTTATTTGAGGGGGGTGGGGGAATATCATCAAATTACTTCTCTGGAGAGAGGAAGTGTCAGACTGACTGACTGACTGCTAACCACCCCACTTTTTCTCCTGCTCCAGGCCTAGGCTGCGGTACCTTATTAAGCTTGGCCTGCAACTCCAGAGAGGTACGGTTTCGCCTCGAATAGCCATTAAACCTCCATGGATGGGGCCCGGCCTGGAGCCTGAGAAGGAACGAAGTGGTTTTTAGTCAGTAAAAGTTTGACATTCCTTCTTCAAACAGTAATAACTCGTATCTGTTTGGCGAAATAACTCGTATTTCGCCAAAAAGATACGTGCCTAATTATAGTTAATTATTTTGATATTCCGGACGAAAAGTTATAATACTACAAGGGTATATTGTATTGTATACCCTCATTCTAAGTAAATACTTTTTAGAGCTCACTTACTCCTGGCCACTCACATACTTATTAATGTCAAAATTCATAAATAGAATCATTAGCGGTCTGTGTTCGAATATTAAAACGTAGCATACAAGATCACCCTATACACACTAGAACGGTTTCTATTTACAAACAAGAAGTCGATCGGAGTTATGTGTGAATTGTGTAGCTAATTACATGCCATATAAACAGTAAGAAGTAGTAAGACGTTAGTATTGACGCCTACGTGCGGCGTATTTACATTTTCCCAACGTCAATGTTCACAACTTTCACAGAATGACAAACGGCAGTGTCGTGTCGACTGTGATAAGTTAGCCGTTTTATACACAGCGGCTGTTTAATAGAATGCAACGAGTAAGTATAAAGCCTTCAAGGTAAGAAACGGTCTTTGAATACCTAATAAAACCTACATATTTTTTATTTATGTTATCTAAAATCATATGTGTATTATACCATAAAAATATTTTAATATAATTTAATACATTTTAAGTATGGGAGAGCTATGCTTCAGCACGAATGGGTCGGCTCGACCAGATTGATACCACGGACTCACAGAAAACCGGCGTGAAACAACCATAGCGTTGTGTTTCGCCGTGAGAGTGAGGTTACCGAAGGCCCAATCCTTCCCCCTTTTTTTTTTGGTGTCGGTTTGGAAAATCCTCATGGAGACCCACCGCCCTCGGGGAAGGGCGAAGGGTACTGTCAGACTCTTATTGACTAAAAACCAACCCGGTGTTCCTCCAATTACCCATGTGTTGGAGGGGCGGGTATCGCCGAAGTATTCGTCGCATCCCCAATCCTTCCCCTCATTCAATTCCAAAATCTGCAAATAACTAATTCCCAAAAGGTCAGCAACGCACTCGTAGTCCTCCATTGTTGTGAGCCGTCCATAGGCGGCGCTGATTGCTTACCATTAGGTAATCTGTGTGCGCATTTGTTAACCTATCAAATAATAAAATAGATAATAGGATTACAAGAGATGTTAGTTGCAAAAACTCTGCAGAAACAGGTATAAAAACACCATCTACTTAAAGTAGCCATAGGTACTTACTAGATCGGAGGAAGGAAAATAATGTTTTCCAACCATAAATCTATGTTCATCTAAGATGAACAGTAGTCAATGATTTTCGATTAATTATTTATAAATAACATTATTTGGTCATTCGTTTCGCACATAGTACTAATATTTTGTACGAAGCCGTGATATTTCGGTTTTGCTAGTGTAAAATTCAGATTTATAAACGCACTCGTGGTACACTTATTAAATTATCTGATTAGTTTTGTCCATTTAGTGTAGAAAACGTTGCTTTAACATTTCATTATTAAGTTATAAAGCAAAGCAAACACATTAAATTTATTCAGTGTTCTAAATGCACACTGAGTAGTGTTAAAAATGTTTTTCTTCCTCTGAATAACTTCCTACGACTACCTAAAACGACAAAACTCTTCAATTAGAAAATACGTGCATACCTACGCTACTAAGATCTATTTTTGTATATTTATTTAATAATATGGGCGGTGACCATTGTCAATATTACCTTTTAAATATAAACATACAATACCTTAAATGACTATCAATTTTACAGTCACATTTAGTTGAAGCGACATTAAATATTTAAATTAATTTGTAATATTAGTACCTACATACATAGATATTAAATTATGGAGTTACTGTTTATTTAAATTTCCATTCGAACGCTGTTGTCCCTTTGTCAAAAGCAATATTTACGTAGAATAATATTTATTAATAATAGAGTTAAATTATAATATTTGTTTTAGAGAATATACATATGTCATTGATACTTACTTCAGAGTAGTGATAAAGTACTGAGAAACTACGTAAACAGCTTATTGGCTTCGTTATAACTGTTTTCATGACATCACTTTTGTGAGAAACACGCAACGTTACTTGAATTTGAATATTCTGCGTTTATGTGTAACTTAAAACCTCATATATAATTTCATTGTTATGACAAAACTCGTAATGTCTAAAACAAATGTAAAAAATACAGTTACTTAAGTCGTAATCGTAACTCAGAGATCTTCAAACAAGAAATGTTCTTTAATGTCCATCTTGCGTTTAATGCGAGTAATTCACTGAATGGATTCCGCTCACGCAAATCCGCGTATAAACTTTCACTATGACTATGATGTATTAAATATGTAATGTTCGCAATGACTATCATCTGTAGCAATCATTATCCGTAACTGGTTTTAGATAGCTCTCTATAGAAGCCACGATCGAAAACTGAGGCTTTGAAATGAGTAATGTATTTTTAGACCGCCCTTGTTTTAAATCAATTCATTCTTTCATTTAATTCGAATAACAATGTGATGTTGTAATCTTAATTTCGATTAGTAATCAAAAGATACTCTATTGTGTTGTTTGTAAATATGAAATGTAAACATTATTGTTTGAAAAAAGTTTCTATACCGCACGTAATTGCTGAACTGTGATGCTACTTGCGAACAAAGACTGTTGGAAAATGATGACATCAATCAAAAATATAGCTGGCGTCCTTTTCAAAGAATTTGAAATTTGCAATAAAAAAAAACCGAGCGAAGACTTATTAATTATATATAGATTTTTTTAATGAAACCGGTGCTTAATTACTTCAATAAGACAGTAATAATTATAGATGATTTATTATATTGGCGAATAAATAAATATTAACTTTCAAATGTGTAATTGGCATGTCTATATATGCAAGTATACCTAAAGACATACGACCACAAGATAAATGAGTGCGTTCACATTTTGCGAATGGTCGTCACGAAGCATGAACAAGTTTTTATTCCATATACAGACTTATTGTACGTTTAATAATAACGAAATCCTTATTACGACGCGTTGGTCCAAGACTGGTGAGTCACGTAGTATTATTACAAGCTGGCTAATGTCCTGTTGTACAAAAAATCCGTGCCTTAATTAAATTGTTTGGTCGTGTGGGATGTGGGTCAGATGGTCCCGTCCGGCTGTCTCAGCGTACGACGACGAGTTTGCAAATCAGATGACATTGGCATTCGATACCCGCTTCTGAACGAGGCCCCGCCCTCAAGCCACGTGCTCACAATATTTATGTGCTGCATGCTAATTTTATATCTATGAAATTAGGTTCTATTGACGAAGCTTAGTTGTATATCCACTCAAATGATAAAGTCGTTCAGATATGCATCGGTCAGTTATAAATCAACAGCTTTCTAATTTGATTGGGCAGATCAGTATGCCTGAATGTTTGATAAGGCTTCGGTAATAAATAGCTAAGTTGCATTGGTTCGATCAATCATGAGTTTTAGTAGGTTGATTTTTGACCCAGGGGTGCTAAACCATTTTTAAACTGAAATGCGCTATCGATTCATATACACGGGTAGTTTTTAATAACGATGTGTCGCCAATGATTTTTCTCAATTCAACTACACGAGATCGCATTGTATGGTATTCCGACAAAAAAAGATAAGAAACAAACGTCAATATTACGATAGTAGCTTTTAACACTTAAATAGCAAAGTTATATAAAATAAGTTAGACAAATAAATATAGGTACGCCTTGTTGGTTCTTAACAATAAAAAAAATACAACACCCAACGATAAAAGTTTAGTCTTCATCGAAACGGACGACTCACCTCGAACAATCCAAAATAATAAATTCAGGGTTATCGCTATTTCAGGTAAGGTGAAAGAACGTTCAAGAATTGGTGTAACTTTGCACGAAACTGCAAAGTAAGTCACGATCGCGTGCCACCTTTTCTTGTAATTGCAGTTTCTGGCAAAAAGTATGTATTTAATACAGTGTGCAGTCGCCGTCAACTTACTACTTTCTGCATTTTTTTTTCTAATCTAACCTTTTAACTGATGGTAAGCAATCAGTGCCGCTCATGGACACCCGCAACACCAAAGGAGTTACGAGTGCATTGCCGGCCTTTTAAGGATAAGGGTGTCGGATATTAAAGGATTGGGAACGCGAGGGGGAGGGATTGGGCCTCCGATAACCTTACTGACACGGCGAAACACAAAGCTGTGGTTGTTTCACTCCGGTTTTCTCAGAGGCCGTGGTACCACTCTGGTCGAGCCGACCCATTTGTGCCGAAGCATGGCTCTCTCACTTACTTTAATACGAATAGATAAAGTTGAAAGTGAAATAAAAGAATTTGACAGATTGGAGTGGATCGATCTGCTGTGGACTGTACCTACGTGTAAATGAACTGTCCAAGAGTTACTGAACTTACATCGAAATGGAATATATGAATAGACCACACGTGAAGTTTATAGGCACAAAAAATCCAGAAATAGTTCTTGTAGTTTTTGTATATTGTTTTAGTAGCCATATGGTCCAATCATTATTATATTCTGCCCTAGATAGTTTCTGTTAGTGTTTTAGTACTGTTCAAGTTATTTAAGTCGCTCATATTTAAAATAAATGTTTATGATAAAAATAATGGTACTGAAATAATGAAAGTTACTTAGTCTAAAACGAAAGCTTTTTCTTTGAAGAGTTAAAATCATCAAATGTCTTTT